GCTACGAGGAGCAACTGCAGGCCGTTGACACGGCCCGCCTGGAAGCAGATCAAGAAAGGAAAAGAGCTTTGACAGAGAGAGATCATATCCTGAACAAGCTAAACGCTTGCGAGTCAAACAAGCATGCTGCCCAGGATCGATGCACCAAAGCAGCGGAAGATCAGACCAAATATCGGAATCATATTGACCACTGGAAGAGGAAGCACGCAGAAGAGCAGGTCAAAGTAGATAAGGCCCAGAATCAATTGGCCGCTCTTGAGAAGAGTTTGAGGTCAGTCCGGACTGTTGTGTGATGCGACGATGCTGATTGGACGCAGGAATGGACGCAGGGTGCCGAGGAGTTCTGTGAGCGTATCGAGACAACACGAAGGCCAGCGGACCTCGATCGCATCCTGAAAGCAACCCAAGAGGCGCTGAGAGATCGTGAGAAACGGTGCGTGATGTGCTGCATCTTGCACACGCGTTGCTCAACGCCGGTGCTCAGAATCGGTGCCTCGGTTGAGACGATGGCAGATGAAGTAAATAATGCCAAAGAGCGATTCGACAGAGCTAAGAGGACTTGAAGCAAATGCACGTCCTGAATAAAGTACGTTCTTCTTTTACGTCGCTGATGGGTGGTCTGATGGTCTGCGTAGGCCCTCAAGAGATCTTTGGCCATACGACTTGATCGGTGGCATGAGTTCAGACGACACATTGCGACCCGGTGCAAAGTCGTATTCGGATATCATCTCTCTCAACGTGGATACTTTGGCAAGGTTTTGTTTGATCACGAGGACCAAACGCTCTTGCTCAAGGTCCAGACCGACGACCAAGCTGCTACTCAGGGCGCCTCACGTGACAAGGATCCTCGCTCGCTGAGTGGAGGAGAAAAGTCATTCTCGACCATCTGCTTGCTCCTTTCGTTGTGGGAATCCATTGGCTGTCCGATCAGATGTCTGGGTGAGTTCTACTACTCCATTTCTTCTTGATCCCGCTGACTGAGACGTTACACAGACGAGTTCGACGTATTCATGGATGCTGTTAACCGGCGCATCAGCATGAAGATGATGGTTTGTCTCGTCTCGTTCTGTGGACGTACTTGCTAACGTGATCGAAGATTGACACTGCGAACTCGTCCGATAAGAAGCAATATGTGCTCATCACACCCCAGGATGTGTCAAACATGAAGCCCAGCTCCAGCGTCAGGGTCAACCGCATGTCTGATCCAGAGCGAGGGCAGGCATCCTGCAGTTCGCTGGCTGAGAGAACTCACCGCCATCATGTAGCTAATATATCCATCTAATCCCTAGTGTATGGTCTCCCAATCTACAGTATGATTCTTGCCACGGTGTCATCAAATGTGACGTAACGATAATGATGTTCCTGCTCTGCTTGCTCCCATGGCGCACAAGACATTCGGCGCGCTGCGTATAGCAGCTTTGCCTCTCACAAGAACCCAGCCCAGGATAACGTATCACAGTTTCCGTGTCATCACACCGCCCTCGCCGTCAACAAGCGATCACGAGAAACCGCAGCCTAAAGGCTGGCTGCCCAGAGAAGGCGTTGTGAAATGGGCCACGCACAAAGCCGATAATCTCTGGGTATCTTGGGGCAAGGCGCCGGAGCGCTCCTGGAAGGCGCGTTCCCGCATCCCTGCAGCATCTAACAACTATGCTAAATGTAGTGCATAGTTTCGTCTGTTCGAATTCGGCGAACGCTTCCTCGACCGACTAGACTTTGAAGAGGGCGCCTTGAAGAAGATCGATATCCATCACGCTCCACCTTCGAGCCCTCCGCTGCCTCGGGACGGCGTCGATGAAAAGGAACAGATGGCGGCCTGGGAGCAACTCGAGGTGTGGGATAACGGCCTCCCTATTGTATGTGTGTGTGGGCATTAACTTTGAATTGAAGGTACCGCTTCTATATCCACCGGGGGTGTACTCTGGCTCCGCTGCGGCGCTGAGCGACCTGCGTTCGCTCGTCGAACGTCGAATTCCCTTACACAATAGGGGATTTTATACGTTCCTGATTATCGCCCCACTGACCGCTCCGTTCATGATCATCCGTGCGTCAGTCGCGTCCCAGGATCTGTTTCCGAATGACTGACTTGTGCGCAGCGGTCATTCCTAACATTCCGTTCTTCTTCTGCGCGTGGAGAGCATGGTCGCACTATCAAGGTTCGCCGATTCTTGAGGGGCGGTGTTTAGTGCGCTGAATGAGATGGTCTATCAGCTCTCCGCGGTGCCAGGCACGTTGAAGGGCTGCTGAAGCACCAGAAGATTGTCCCTAGAGCGGATGGTACCCTGAATGCGGCATACCCTGAAATAGATCCCTTGACATCGGGTGATGGCCCAGCGCTTGCTGTGACTCGCGACTCACTGGGAAAAGTCATACAAGCCTCCAATATGGAGCCGGATGATGCGAAGGACCTGCTGCGGGCCTACGAGCAGGCGACAATCCGACAGACACCACGATGAGGTGTCAAACAGCCTCCGCCCCCGTGCAATGTTGTATTGTTACAGTGATAGTGCGCGTGTCTCAGCTCAGTTCCCGGTCGATCTTCATGCCAACCTTTACGCACAGTGTAATTCTAGATGGATCAATTCGATGTTACACTTCGCTGGCTAGAAATGGCATGGTTTCGCGCGCTGTTGCGATTTTTCTGATCCCAGGAGAGCCAGCAGCGCCCTCGTTCTATTACCTAAGTAGTGCGCCAAAATGACAACCAATCCACGCTGCGAAGGCCGCTGGGAACTTGAGGGGCTGAATGTGGCTAGCGCAGGGCGATCGTACAACGGCTAACGGACTGCCCGTCGGATTTTCTGCAAGGCGCAGACGCGAACCACCATTCCTTTTTTCGTGTGTGTCAACGATGAGTGGTTGTGGCGGAGAAGTTTCATTTGTCCAGGCGATTCTGTGCCAATGAGCGGCATCTCCCGAACATGCTTCGGCGAAATCCATACTGTTGGCGAAATGGCGAACAAGCGACCGAGACGGAATCGGGAAACTTGGAGGTAGAGCGCCCGTATGTCGACGGTGGGGCTCTGTCGAGACTGTGGAACTGACTGCACAAGCAACTCGAATCCCTTTATCTGCCAGGCAGGGACGAGCTAAAACAAGCTTGGAGCCTATCCTTTCGAGCAGAATTCGGCACGGATCACACGACATAACGAAGAGAACATGGACCTTCATGCGGGCTTAGGGTGGGGACACGGATGTCTCCGATGAAGGAGGCTCCTCGGACTGGGCTCCAGCTTGGGCTGTTCCGGATCGGGATGGGATCGCGAGCGCAAGTTTAAGTAAGAGCGAAGAATCGTCGTGCATGCATTTCGTCGAACGCACGCTCCCATGGCCCTTTTTCGCGCGTCGCCCGCCGTCAAGGACGTGCACGCCCTCCCCGTCGAGCTGCTTTCCTGCATCTTCACGCTCGGCGCCCTCGATCAACGCAGTGACTCCCCGTTTCTGCTGCGCCCGGACGAAGACGACTGTCCTGTGTCGGTGGATTTCCAGCTGGTGGTCAGCCAGGTCTGTCGTCATTGGCGCCAGGTAGCCTTGCGGACGTCCTGTCTGTGGACTTTTCTTCATTTCCGGGAGCCTTGCCATGTTGCTCGGGCGGAGGAGTTTCTGAAGCGGGCGTCGAAGAAGTGAGTCAGGAGATGGCTCCCTGTGGATTCACGTAGCGAGCTGTTTTCAGTTACCCGCTGGACATAGTGGTGGATACCGTTTCACCGATCGAGCATATTCCCGGGTATGTGAGAGGCATGTCGAGGGGAGGACGCTGACGGAGCGTGTCACCCACAGAGTTACGCTTTGCCACGAAGAAATGCGAGCTATCTTTGCGCTGATCACCCCGCACGTCGCTCGCTGGCACGCGTTCCATCTCAAGGTGCGCAGCGAACAGCTGGCTTGTTGATGCACGTTTCCATTTCATTCCAGGTTCGCGCTAATGAGTGTAAGCTCGTCGCACGTCAAGCTCTATCTACCTGTGGGCCGGCCCCCATGCTCGAGACCCTCCAACTTTATCACTTTGAAGATTACCGCACATCACGGAACCTTTACATCGCGACATACCGCGCGCCGGTGATCATCTTCGACAATGTGCTCCCCGCGCTGAAGAACGTGTCGCTCATTGGCGTGAACCTGACGTGGTCGCACGCGCCGTACCTGCAGCAGCTGCACGCGCTCGAGCTTGCGCTGCACCCGGACAGCATCCGCCCGCCATATGACGCATGGGATGCCATGCTCCGGGGGTCGCCCCACCTGCGGCAGCTGCGACTGCACTATTCTGGCCCGCGCGCCACGGACGAGCCGAACGAGCGGGTCTGCGTTCCAGGCCTCGAGGAGCTCTCTCTGACCGATCTTGATCCGGACCACCTCGCGCGGCTGCTGCCTGCGCTGGAGCTTCCTCGGCTGTCGACGCTGGCCTTGGACTTGCCTGATCAGGACTTCACGTCGGTTATTCGCTTCATCGCGGGTGTTCGTGATCCCGGCGCGGGCCTGTCGCCGTCGTTCCCCATTGCGTCGCTGCAGATCCTGCGCATAACGGCGCTCGAGTGCACACAGGAGGCGCTGTCTGCCTTCCTGCGCGCATTGCTTTCGCTGCGCGTGCTGGAGCTGGACTTTGCGCGTCTCCCCGGCGAGACGTTCCGCGTGCTGCTCGAGACGGTCACTCCAGCATGCAAGTGCTCCAAGCCAATGGCGCCAGTCCCTGTCCTGCCCCGTCTCGAGGAGGCTCTCATGTTTGGACTGCCGGGCCAGAGTCTGGACGAGTTCATCCAGTTCCGGGAATCCTGGGCAGCATCCACGACCAGCTGTGGCGAACCGAGATATGCATGGCGCGTGACGCTCCCGAGAGTCGTTGTGCGCCCTGGCCATGCTCGGGGGCAGGATGCTGTGCTGACGGATCTGGTCGAGCAGGGGAAGGTAGAGTGCTTGGATGACGGACTAGAGCTCGAGCTTGGCGAGGAGGACGATTTAGAACCTAGCGAAGACGGACACTTTGATGAAATTGAGACATAATCTACTTACTTTACTATTACTACATAAATCGCCCTTGTGCTTTGACACATACTACAATCTGCGCGTAAGAACTGAATTCTCGTCCCCCATGGCGATCGCGCTGCGTTGGGCAATTGGCAGATTCAGCTCCCGATAAGGAGAGAGGCTTCAGCCACTCTCCCGGCTGTAGACCTGGCCAGACCGCGTCAGAGCCTGGGAGTAATCTCATCGATGGCTTCCTGTCGGCACCGCCACGCTAAATGACATGGGGACGCACGGGACGGGCACGTGGCAAAATCGCCGCCTCGCGTCAGGCACGCGGCCGATCATCTCAGAGCAGGTAGGGTGGTGCAACGTTGTGCGCTCCCTCCGCGTGTCTTGGGCCATCTTCTCTTTCTTCCTCTCCCCATCCCCTTCGTCTCTTTCCCTTATTTCTTCCGGCGTCGAGCGAGTCGACTGAAGCAGGACCACCCACAGCCAGTGGCCGCTTCTTTTTTCGAAACCTCTCTTTCGTTCCGCCACGTCGCCGTTGAGCATGCTCCCGCTGATACCCTGGATCTTGGCGCTGCTGTCTATTCTGGCAGCAGCGGCACTCGACCTGCCCTCCAAGCTCGCGCGGCTCTGTGCCCGAGTCGGTGGAGGTGCGCTCCGCCTGCCGCTGGTAAGCCAGGCGGCATCCGCCACCGACTCCTCCGCTCCCACAGGCGTCCTGCCGACAGCGATCCACGCACCCACGCCACGGTCGCTGTCGCACTCGTTCGAACCGCGGCCCCCCTCCCCCTCCCCGCTCCGCGGGCGTGCGCAGAAGGCACTCGGGTTCAAGCTCGGGCTCGGCCGGTTCCAGAGGGCGCGGAGCGTGGGGGCCGTGTTGCCCCGGTTTCGTGCGCCGTCTGATCCTGATGTGCTCGAGCATCCGTATGGGAGACTTGGGATCGAGAGCGTTCCGCCAACGCCGCCTCCAGGTGGGGTGCAGCTCGTGGACCTCTCAGACTCGTCGCACCCGTATCAGCCACAGCACCGCAGAGCCGCCTCGGCGTCGTTCGACAGCCTCGCCCTCAGCCTGCAACCCTCAGCCAATCCATTCGCCGACCCGCCCGGCTCGCAGCCGAGCGCGTTCGATCGCACGTACAGCTGGGGTTCGATATCCCAGTTCTCGACGTCGTCGTCGGGATTGGCGAATGCGAATCTGCTGGTCGATCTGACGCCCTCGTCGCCGCCGGTGCTGCCGGCCCGTCCGCCCGATGCCCATGTGCACGACGAAGCGCACGTGCGCTCGCATCTGAGCCTGCATCCCGGAGTTCTGATCGACATCCGCCGGATGTGCTGATCGACTCGAATCCGGAGGAGCTGGAGTACGAGCTGGTGGATGTGAGCGTGCCGCCGTCGCCGTCGCCGCATCCCGTTGGGTGGCTGGATCAGCCGCTCGTTCCTCAGCCGAGAGCGGCGCTGCCGGAAGCCGGTGTTGCGAGTGGCAATAAGCCTGTCGCGGTGGCGGTCACGGCTTCCACTGGTGCGGTCGCCACTCATTTACGTAGTGTTCACACTGATATTCTCTTAGATACGATCACTCAAGGCGAGACGAGTCTGGGTCTCCCTGCTGAACCACCCGCCGACGAAGAGAGCATCGTTGAAGAAGAAATCCTTCTCTTCTCGAACGCAATCACACGCGAATCAGATGCAGAGCGCGCCGAAGCCATCCATATCGACGAAGACGAGCTTTCCGATGACGAACCCATGCACAAGCACTTTGCAGCTCTGGGCATTACGACATTAACGAACCCTTTACGACCTGATGACGATCTTTCCCTGGTGAAAACACCCATCCAAATCCACTCCCATCTTCCTTCGCCGCCGCTCTCGCCTCCCCCACTCCCGGCTTCCCGGCGCAGATCGCCCGATGTTCCTTCGCTGAGCGAGGATGCCGAATCCAAAGAGCAGTCTGAGATCCCTCCGGCTCTGCAGATCGATCTGCCGCTGCGGCCCAACAACGGCTTCCTCTTCTCCGAGGAGCCCGACCTTCCCCCGGCGTCCGGCCCGTACGAATCCAGCACGTACGCTGTGGACATCGACGCCGTGATGCAAGGGCTGCGGGAGCGGGAGAAGGAGCTGGCTGATGCTGAATGCAAGTCAGTTGAGGAAGAGCAGTCCGAGCCCGAGCTGCTCGTCGATTTCTCTCATGCTCAGCCCCCCGCGAACAGCGACCCGGAGCCCTGGAAATGGGATGTGTGGGAGGCGCACACGGAGCCTCCGGAAGAGACTGCCGTCGAAGAACCTGTCGCAGAGCCAGTGGCTGTCGAGAACCAGCCCCCGCTGTTGATCCAGCCACCGAGCTCGCGATTGTTGCCGACGAGGCTGTTCTGCTGCTCGTGCCGGTCGCGTCAGAAACCGATGTCCAGCCTCCCTCTGCCATCAGCGAGCACGATGTCGTACCGTCTCCCGTGGAGGAGACCCTCGACACCCCCGATGCAGCGCCGCCTCTCACGGAGGCGGCCGTCGACATCCCCGTCGAAGAAGACATTGCCGAGAAGTCGCACGACGAGGTCGACGCTCCATCCTCGGACGGAGCTCCCTTGAAGATCGACATCCCGGCAGCCAAGACCCCAGAGATCGAGGACCCGCCTTCGCCGACCTGCCGCCCGACTCGCAGCTGAAGCAGCGCCGCCGCATGCCTCCTGCGCCGCTCGATGCTGCGCTGGCGATGCAGCTCCGGCCCGGCCTCGGGCTCGGTGCGGATGGCGCGTGGCTCGTGCGGTTCCTGATGTCCTTCTTCGGCTGGCTGGCTGTGCTGGTCAGCGCTGGCAGGGCCACCCGTCGGGCCACGCCTGTGGCGGCGGCAGCGGCGGCGGGCGCCAAGAAGCCTGTCGTCGACGAGAAGCCTGCCGGCGAGCGTGAGCAGTCCAGTACCGACGCCTCCCAGGCTCTTGTCGCAGTCAAGTAACGGCGAACCAGCCCCGGTTATTTCATCTTTCCTCATGCATATCATTGTTGTCCTACCTGTATCCTTCTCATCCACGCACATTTGCATTGTTTCATCTCTTCATCGCACGGAACGCACTGGAATCATCATGTCTCGCATCTGCATCCCTATCGCTATCCTATTTTACGCATTCTCGATATTATCCGCCGACGGTTGTTTATAGTTTTGAGCCGGGGCAGGCTGTGTGTTATCCCCTGGCGCGGCTGTGTGAGGTGTAGGAATAGTACATGCATACGTAGTACGTAGCAGGGGGAGACATTCGCTATCTTATACATCTGGATCTAATCTTTGAACAACCGAGTCTCGGGAGTTTGAGAAGAGGAAGATCGCTGCTCACGTGTCCTTACTCAACACCAGGCGCTCAAACAGGAAGGTGGCGACCCTGCATGTGAGCATCCTAAACCTCAATTCCATTCGATTTATACAAACAACGACGTAGCGACAACAGACTGGGAGTTTTTATCTAGATCTGAATTTGACATTGATTGTCCGTGAACCCGACGGGGGCCTTTGCCGGTGTCAGCGTGCGATCGCTCACACTCAAGCACCTTCTGCGAGCGCCAGGCCCTCTCGCATATATTCGTCGTAGAGAGCTTTGTAGTCGCGGTGCCAGCGGCTCAACGCAGGGCGTCCTTGGGCTGCATCCGCCGCAGCCCACATAATCCGCAGCTGGTCGATCTGTGGGTATGCTCAGCCAGCGGAAGGAGATTACGTGTAGTAGGTTCATACGTGAGTAGTGGTCTCCCCATCCGGAACCAGCACGTAGAATTCGCCAGCAGCGACGCGCGGAAGCATGTAGCGGACAGTCTCGTCGGCTGTCCAGGCTCCGGCTGGCTTGTCCGCTCCAGCATTGGCACCGGTCATGCCAGTGAAAGTCCATCCGGGCCTGGAAGCACGTCAGAATGGGGACGGAAAGCTGCCAAGCACACTCACACAAAGAGATGGGCACTGAGGGATCCTCCAGAACTCGGGTGGTGCCGCAAAGCATGCGCGAGACCTTCGGTCAAAGACTTGACCGCAGCCTTAGATGCGTTGTAGGCCGTGTTTCCGCTAAAGAGCACGATAAACAAAGCACACAACATCTGTGGGCGACATTCTCACGGAGGATTAGTCATTCCCTGTTTGCTCCCAGTGTTAATGATCATTGCACGATTCTCCTGGTGAAGCATGGCCTGTCTCGATCACTCAGGGGGGAGAGACGACTCGACCGTGACAAACCACAAACAGGGACGAAGACTTGTTGAACGTTCACCACACCAAACACGTTCACGTCAAAGACCTTGTGCCACGCATCCAGACCTTCCCAGGAGGTGCCTGCAAGAGTTACTGTTACAACGATGGAGCGGATCCGAGTAGCACAAAGTGCGCACCTTTGACACCATCGGCGGTGCCAAAGATGCCAGCGTTGTTGAGCAGCACCCCGACTTCGCTCCACGCCTCGTACACCGTTTCCCGGAGCTTCTGCACGTCGGCAACAACACTGACATCCGTCGGGACGACGAGGACATTGGCTTCGCCGACCTGCGCGATCAGGGTCGCAGCGACGGCGTTCAAGGCGTCGATGGAGGACGGAAGGTCCGCGAGCGCGACTTTCATGCCCAGAGCGGCGAATGCGCGCTGCGGGTGTCTCCTTGAGTATCGCGTGTGATCTTGCGGAAAGTGGACACACGAACCGCTGCTGCTGCGCCGATACCACTCGCGGCGCCCGTGATGACGGCGACGCGTCCGGCATGGAAGACGGGGTGCTCGCCAGCGTCGACGGCCTCCTCGGGGGAGAACGACGCGGAGCCGGAGAGCGCGCTGGAGCGGATGGGAGGTCGGTTTCGGGTCGCGTTGCCGTTGCGATTCATGGTGGAGTCAGAGAAACATGCCACGATTCGATTACGGAGCAAGGAAGATCAAACGAGATCAAGTGTTTGCCACGATCCGTTCGAGAAAAGCATCAGCATCCCCGAGGGGAATCGAAGGGTGCAACGAGGTAATGAACGAGCAATGTGACGCCATGATGTGAGTATGCGGCATAGATGAGGTCCAGAGAAGCGTGGGATGAAATGCAAAGGGCCAAAACGCGGTCAAGCACGGTGGAAGAGATCATAACCAGTCCTGTAGTCAGCACAAGAATGCTGTCAGCCGATAGGGTGCGCACGAGCGTGAGGGCGATGGGCCACGCGAGCGAGCGGAGGTCGTCGACAACATGTCACTCTTGCTCTGCTATACAAGGAGCTCAAGTGGGAAGGGAAAGATGGTGAGATTAGGGTAAAGTGGATACTAGATTGTCACTGCGATCAGCAGCCAATCGGGGTCGCGACTCGGAGCCAGCACGCGGCCCGGGCATCCGGGGTATCGCGGAAGCCCAATGATGCGGATGCTTTTCATTACATGCCATCTCTTCCAGCTCTCGTACACGGCCTCCAAAGAGTGTGCCCAACGCATCTCAATGAATGGATACGGGATCCCTTAGACGGACTGTCCGCCTCTCAGACAGTCTACTGGTCTGATTCATTCAGTAAACTTTGCCCTGATTGATTGTACCAACAAATGTTGCCCCTTCATGGAATGTTCATAACAATCCATGCCGGTCTTTCTTCGTCCTACAGGCAGCTCGGAAGCGCAGTAGCCGCTCCTTCCCCCGCCGAGCCCGGGAACTGAGTTCTCTGCAGGCCCACATGCGCTCGGCCGTCGACTTGGAGCCTCAGCCGATCTATGCGCCGTTGAAACCATGTCTTCATTCCACTCCCTGCTACGACTGGCGAATGTACACACTCTGGTTTGAACACTGCATTATGGTGGCTCGTTCAACAGGAGACACGTGCCCAATGACCGGAGAACACGTTCGTCACTCATTTTGACTAATCTAAACTTGAACGAAACCCAAGCGAGTCGTGAGATGTGCATAGATTTGACTGGCTCCGATCCAAGTACATATAGAAGACACAGACCAGGATAAGGCAGGGCATGCCGCTGTTGCAATTGAAGCAGTTATTCTCGGGATGCTGCAGCGGATGTCCGGCAAGAACCGGCAATTCGATCAATTTTGGGGAGGGCCAGGGACGCGTTGTTGGCCGGAAGAGAACGGATGAGTCACCTGACATTCCGGCACGTCACCAGTCGCGTACTTTTCAAATTTGTGCCAGCCAACGACTCTTTCCCATCCACCATAATGTCTCTCCCTCAACCTGTTCCCCCTAACTGGAAGGTTGGTGCCATCTATCTCTCGTAAAATTATCTCATGGCCGTTTCAAGGACCTCGGCAAGTCGTCCAACGACCTGCTCCAGAAGGACTACCCCTTCTCGGGGACAGCGCTTGAGGTCAAGACCAAGACCCCCTCTGGTGTCATCTTCAAGGCCGCTGGAAACAGGATCTCCTCGTCCTCTGTGATCAACGGTGACATCGAGGCCAAGTTCTCTGACAAGAAGCACGGCCTGACCTTCACCAACACCTGGACGACGACGAACGTGCTCAAGACGCAGGTCGAGCTTGACAACCAGATCGCCAAGGGCCTCAAGGTCGACCTCTTGACGTCGCTTGCCCCCACTAGCGGCACCAAGTCTGCGATCCTGAACGCTGCCTACAAGCAGTCCGGCTTCCACTCCCGTGCTTTCCTTGACATCCTCAAGGCACTGACTCTTTCCATCTGTTTCAGTTCACCGTCGCTTATTGCTATCTTTTCAGGGCCCCGTTTTCACTGCCGACACCGTTGTTGGACGTGATGGTTTCCTTGCCGGTGTTGAGGCCGCATACAACGTTACGGAGGGCAAGATCAGCCGCTACGCGCTCGCGGCCGGCTACAACGCTCCCGAATACGCTGTCACCATCCACGCATTGAACGACCTCAAGACCTTCTCTGCCAGCTACTACCACCGTGTCAACACCAACGTCGAGGCTGGTGCCAAGGCTGTCTACGACCCCAAGCTCACCAACGGCGGTGTCTCCATCGAGGTTGGCACCAAGACGTAAGTCTTCAGAAAATCTGGCATTTGTTTGCGCTTATGCCTGCTCTAGCTATTTGGACGGAGCGTCCTTTGTCAAGGCCAAGATTAACAACTCTGGTGTCCTTGCTCTCGGTTCGTGTTATGTGGCTGGTTGTTTTCGTTGTATGAACTGGTGTTGCAGGCTACACCCAGGCGCTTCGCCCTGGGGTGAAGGCCTCTTTCGGTCTTGCTCTTGACACTCAAAAACTGAACGATGTTGACCCCTCTGGCCCCGTCCACAAGGTCTGTATTCCAAGACTTTTGCCTCTCCTGCCCGCTGAATCGTTGTCATCAGGTCGGCATGACTCTTACGTTCGATTCTTGAGGAGGATGGGCTATGCGGATTTGGATCACCACGCCTAGATTATCGTAACATCCACAGGCTACTAGTACGAATGCAGCATAACTCTTTCACACTCTCTGCAGTCGACTCTAGTGACTGAAGCAACATCTACGAAAGAAGACTATAGGGCATTGATTTCATTCGGAGATGGCAGGATACATCGATAGCGATCACATCCGAATTCAGTTGCCTTTGCTGGCCTTGTCCAATACTGCGCAGAGAATCGTCAACCAACTACTGCGGCGGAAGAAGATGAGGATGCGTACCGGCTTCATAAGCGACCTCGCTGAACTCCGTTCCTTGGATCTCGACAGCGATGCCAACCAGAGCTCGGCGCAGTGCGTCCTTGGAGGACGCGGCCACCATCTTGGCCTTGACCTTGGCGTCATCGGGAGTCCTGAAGCGATCGGATGAGAAAATCGAGTGTCATAGAGGGCCAGCGACGTGGATATTGCTCACCATGAGTAGAAGACGAGCTTGTTTCGTTTGCCAGCGCCTTCCTTCTCGAACTCGAAATCGTATACCGCCCATCTGGGCTCTGTTTCAGGAAGATCCTTGAGGAACTCGTCGTAGTCGGTCAACTCAGATGTCTTCTCGACGACGATCTCCGTGTTGTCTTTGTTGAGGTTGAAGATGATGTACTTCGTCTTCTTCTTCAACTTCAGCGCGTTGTATGTGTCGATACATTCATTGTTGACCGCAACACCGGAGCTCTAGATGCGATATGAGTCGTTAGACGGCGAATACTACTGTAGTAAGTGAACCCGCCATGGTCGTGTGGAAGTGAAGAGGAGGGAGGAGGAAAGGGCTAGAATGTGGCGGTGTTATCAACACAGCAATCGATTGCGGTGGTCCTGCTTCAACATTTACACCGGTGCTACATTACTTATATGCTCTATCTTACAGCCGACTGCGGCTTACAGAAATACGTCGTCCAACCAGGTTTCATAGTCATACTCTGACTCGCCCACTGCGTTCTTTGCCTGTGGCATCACTTCGCTTAGATAGTCGATTGCGGACGCAGGCAGATGATGCAACCGCAGGTCCAGCTCCGTTACAAACGGCTGTCCAAACGTCAGAAAATGTAGATGGCGCAGCGGATAGATATATGCCTTGTCTGAGGCAATGCCTCTGAACGCCTCCCGAAGCTGTTCTGGAGTGGTCTGATCTTCGGTGATGTCGACCTGCAACATATCAGTTTATGATGTCATTAGGCACATCTGGGCACACCAGAAGATTGATAAAGGCCTCGAAATTGATAGCTCCGTAGTCTTGCTGTAACTGGTCGTATATGAAGTTCATATCGTCCTCCTAGTTAGGGTCAGCGACAAGAAAAGTCGAGAAGAACACCCCTACTGAGTAAACGATACCCAGACTAGCCAATGCAGCGGACAGCTCCGGCTGGCTTAAGGTGTTTGTTTCGTCCTTATCAAAGTATCTGAAGGTGCTCTCGAATTGTTCGAGCTGAGCAGGGGTCAAGTTGGTCATATTTCTGGATACGATCTATCCGCCGTGTTAAGACCAAAATAACATTAGTACAAAGAACGGACCTGATTGTCGATGAAGGAGAGCTTCTTGGCAATGCTCTGGATGACAAGTTCCAGCTCAAACTCGAGATCCTGACACGTAAACACAGTGTAGTCGTTTTCTTCGACATTGGCTGCGTTGCACTCGGCTTCGGATGCAGCCACTCTGTCAAGCGCATCAACGATTGCCGGTATTCGGGTTTGTATCTGTCCAATTGATTGCTGTTGCGTCTACACTGGGATGAGTCTAACGTTCCTGCAATGGCGAGGTGGAGTGTACCTCTAATGGACCTTCGAGCGCGGTGATTTCAGATGAGATGGCGCGCAGCCTTTGTTCGAAATCATTGGCAAGTTCTGCGAATGACTTTCGCAAGCGTTCCTTGATTCTGAAAAACTCGGTGAGAACCCAAGAATGACCGCGGTTCGAAAGGACGAACTGTCGGATCTGCGCATTGATAGACCTGGAGCGTCTGGCCTCTGATGATAACAGGTGGTTCCATGCATCATCCAAGTCACCTAGGCCAAGCCCAGCAGGTGGAACGTATTCCCTCAGCCCATACGTCCGTAATTTGGTTTGGACATTCCCGATGAGAGTCGCGAGATCCTGCTTTTCTACCACCCAAGCGCGTTTTGCAGAATGCTTGTAGGCATTGAAATCGGAGGATTGCTCCTTGGCATCGACGTAGGTTCCAGTGAAGATGCTGCCAGCCCAGTTCGTCTGAACTTCATCAAGGGCGGTCAACAGCTGAAAGTTCATTGAGTAGTGCTGGATTTAGGGAGATAACGACGTACCAGACGGACTCGGCGCTCATAGTCATGTCTCGTTATCCAGACCGACTGCATGAGTTCTGCGAATTTCTCAACGCGTCGAGAGACGGTCTCGACCTGCTCTGTTGGAAAGTAAGGCTGACGGGACACAAGAGGAGAGAGGGAGCTACCCATCGAAGAGAAAGCGTGGAAGAAACTCGCAATATAGGTCATCACACTACGTTCATCCGGCCTGGCCGCATCGCACAAATCTTCCACTTCGAGCAATTGCTACAGAACCATAATTGGAGTGTGATCATGCCTGATTGAAAGCAGCTCACCGGGATATTCAAGTGCTCTGCTGCTATCTTGAACGCGAGTCTTGTATTTCCGTGGCGGTCAGACTGCAATGAAAGGTAAATATATCCGAGGCATAGAAATGGATCACTCTACCTTGTCCAATTTGTCGTAGTCGAGGAGATCAGGTCGGTGGCAATGGATCAAAGCACACCTGTAGTCCGTCGTGAGACAACGGACCCTCTGACGGCTATGGAACACTCACAACGCCAACCCATCCGACCAACTGAGAGAGAAGTCCTGCACGTTCACTTCTTTGTAGGGCTCCGTTTTCCGCTGACACCAGAGGAGAAGGCCCTCCTTGGCAGACAGACCCTCTTCACTTTCAGACAATGAGCGACGTGATGATCTTATAGCACAGGGAATCGAGAGACCTGATGTCCGCGATGGTGAAGCGGAGGATGAGCGTCCATATCATGCCGAGGATCAGCTTGAGGTTTCCGTCAATGATATCTAGGGAGCCGCATGGGTTCAAATCAGGTCGAGGAGCTAAAGAGTTTCTCCTGACCTTCAGGTCCGATGTTGGTAAGTTTCACCCCTCGAGAGGTGATGAATTCGAGGGCTTTGTTCACATTCTCGGCCTTCTGCACTCGCATACGCGGAGTCTTATTATACTTTCCGAGCGATACGTCCCCTACACGCGAGATTGAGGTCGGAAATCCATGATCTCCCAAGAGAGCGCACCCATGATCTCCTACAAAGCAGTTCAGACGCGCGCTGAGAAAGTAGACACAAGTGACCCACCATGAGCTGAATCAGCCGCACCCCATCCGACAGATCCCGCACCAACGAGGACATGGGTGGATATCCAAACGATTCCAGCTTCGTGTTAAGCCTTCCGGGATGTAACGCCTGCCAGTCAGTGATGTGAGGATAATGGTTGAACGATCCCAGCACCATTTGCAGAACGTGCGTTCCTGGACGGAGCGGGAGCGAGACTCGAGCGAGTCCATTAGCGATGCACTTTATGTAGTCGTTAGATGATGCAGTAGAGTATGGTATCAGGAGAGAGTTGCAAGGTAGTGTGGCTGTGTCTCGGCTGAGCGCGGCGCGTCGCGTTCTCTTGCCCACTTCCACCACCACATCTCTCTTTCGCAAAGACTTTGCGGTATTTCTCGACAGAAATGGCGGCGACTCAGTTCGATCCCATATACAAGGGTCTCTCGACCGAGATGGGAAGTGCGTGTACTCTCACTTGGCGGTATAAAATTTTGTCGGCACTCACGCTCTGCCATAGAAATGCGTGTAGCAGCAAGCGGTATGGCCTGGAAAGGCATCGAATCGGGGGATGTGACGGCCGTTGCGAGTGGGGACATCAAGTCTGTGCAATGGCTACGGGTGGCGCGTGGATTTCAGCTTCGAATTGGTCTCAAAGACCGTAATCGGGAGACTTTTGACGGCTTCAAAAGAGAAGTGAGCAAAAAAGACGCGTGCCTATAGATTTCAACGACTGACGGCTCTCTGTAGGACCTCAAAAGACTAACGGAGCTGGTCAAAAACCACTTCGGAATCACGCTTGAGGAGGTGGATGTGTCGTTTAAGGGTTGGAACTGGGGTGAAACAGACTTCAAGGGTGTGCAAGACTCTCAAATCTACGCGTTATTTCTAATTGACGGCTCCTATAGGCCAAGACCTTGCTTTCTCAGTCTCTGGCAAGCTCGCCTTCGAACTCCCTCTTCGTCAAGTCAGCAACTCCAACATCGCGGGCAGGACAGAAGTTTCCTTGGAATTCACGCCTCCGTCGTCTTCGTCCAAAAGCAAGCATGCAGCAGACGAGATGACTGAGATCCGGTTCTACGTTCCTGGTACCACATCCAAGATCCCGAAGGGCTCGGACGATGGGTCGAACAAGTCTGGCGATGAAGGAGACGATGAAGAAGTCAGCGCCGCTCAGGTCTTCCACGATAGCATCACGGAGGCGGCAGATATCGGCCAGGTCACCGGGGATATCATCCTCAGCTTCGAAGAGGTGCTGGTGCTGACTCCGCGAGGTCGTTATGATGTGGACATGTTCCCCGATTTTCTCAGGCTACGTGGAAAGACATACGACTACAAGATCATCTATTCAACCATCTCCAAATTGTTTCTGCTGCCCAAAGACGATCAGCATGTGCTATTCATCGTACGCCAAAACTTATGTGTCGTATAGGACTTAGAGCTGATCGCCTGTACAGCTTGGCCTGAGTCAGCCTATTCGGCAAGGCCAAACGAGGTATCAATATCTCGTTATGCAGTTCACTCGTGAAGAGGAAATCACTGCAGAGCTCAACATGACCGAGTGCGTCGAGTTTGTTGTGCTTTCATCTCTCCCCATGAACAGTCTCCCAGGGAGGAAGTTGCGCAATACGATCGACTGAAGAAGAACTACGAAGATCCCACTTTCGAAGTCGTTTCGAGTCTTTTCAGAGCGTTGGCGAAGAAGAAAATCATTGGCTCAGGCAACTTCACAAGGTATGTCCCTACGATTAACCTATGATGTGTTTTGAAATACTCGAGCAGTCGAGATGGTCATCCCGGGATCAAAGTGAATCTGAAAGCAGTGCAGGGCGACCTCTTCTTCCTGGAGAAATACATATTCTTCGTCGCCAAGCAGCCTGTTCTCATCGAGTTGTCTGATGTACAGCAGGTCGTATTCTCACGTGTCAGCCAGGGAGCCGTCGCTAGGACGTTTGACCTGAAGATCGTGACGAAGAGCGGGCCCGAGTACATGTTTGTGTCGATCAACAAGGAGGAGCTCGAGTCAACGGAGACATATTTGAAAGAGAAGAAGATCCGTGTGAAGGAGATCGTGCCAGACGCGGAACTTTTGGCAGCTGTGGATGACGACGATGACGACGACATGCAGAGCGTGGAATCGGACGATTCGCGTGGCAGGCGCCCCAAGGTGAAGAGCATGAAGGACGATGACGACGACAGTTCTGAAGACGGTAAGTCGCGGAACACATCTATGAAAACCATTGCTGAAATATTCGACAGAGGACTTTGCCGCGTCTGACTCTGATTCGGGATCCCCCAGTGAAGACGACTCCGACTCGGAAGAGGGTGCCGCCACGGCTTCAGACAATAGTGGAGACGAGGCTCTGCTCAAGGACTCCAAGAAGAAGAAAGGCGGCGACGATGCACCAAAGAAGAAAAAGAAGAAAGCTGCCGCTGCAGAGGGCGATGGTGCCGTTAAACCGAAGAAGAAGAAAGCCAAGGCAGCGGATGATGCGATGGATGTTGACGGCGAGGAGCCAGCGGCGAAACCCAGACCGAAACCGAAACCGAAGCCCAAGGCCAAGCCAGCCGACGGCGAGGAGATGGATGTCGACGAGCCCCCGCGGCCCAAGCCCAAGCCCAAGGTCAAGAAGACTGACGGTGACAACGAAGAGCCACCCAAGAAAAAGCAAAAACAAGCAAACGATTAATTTTGTTTCTCTTGCTATTTACATTCACATATCACACCCTGTATCATAGTTGCACAGCTATCCTGATGTTTGTTGAGTTGTGTTGTCTTGAGCTCGATCGCTACCTATCTGGGGTGACTCGCTTCTCCCGATCTGAGCATCTCTCGCTCTCACAAGTGCCACAGAAGCACCGACATGCCGATAAGGCCAACTCTCCCAGGCGCCAGGCCTAGCTCCGCACTGCGATGGCCTCCAAGTTTTCTGGCCGGGTTCTACCTTTCGCAACGCAGGAACGGGTCCCCAAGTCCTCGGTCCTGATCTCGGTCCTGCTGGTGTCATGCTCAATGATCACCTCAACGGTGAGATCTCTCAGACAGCATTGGAGCTGGGCTGAAGTACTGAATGCAGACGTTTGGATACGACGGCTCTATGATGTGCGTCGCGCCCGAACTGGACGGGGACAATTAGACCTTAACTTTCTCTCTTAGAAATGGGTTGAATATCCTTCCGTCATACGCGAACTACTTTGAGCTTAACACGGTCACCACATCGCTCAACACCGCGTCTGTTTGGATTGGAGGCATTCTCGCTGGAATTTCGTATGGCAAGGTCACAGACATCATCGGTCGCCGGCCTGCGCTCTTCTGGGCGGCTGTTATTACTATCATCGCTGTCGGTAAACTGGTTTGGCCACTGCGGGTGAAATCTGAATGAGACGCAGGTGATCCTCCAGACCGCAGCGCAAAACATCGCGATGTTCGTGGTCGCGCGCATCATCATCGGGTTTGGAACTTCAGCATCGGCGCTCACTGGGCCGGCATATCTTGCAGAGACGCTTCCCTCCAAGTGGCGGGGCTGGGGGCTGGGGGTCTTCAACGACTTCTACTACGTCGGTGGACTGATCGCAGCGGGCGTGACGTATGGCACCTCGTTCATGCCTTCCACCTGGGCCTGGCGCATTCCGTCTGCAGTGCAGGGTGTTTTCAGCATCCTTTGCATCGTGATCCTTCCCTTCATACCGGAATCGCCGCGGTGGTTGGCGTATCAGGGACGGACCGAGGAGGCTCTCGTCGTCGTCGCACTTACTCACGCGAACGGCGATGTCAACGACGAGGCCGTCCAAATGCACTACAAGGAAATTGTCGACGCTATCGAGACCGAGAAACACGCACCGGACCCGCTGTCGATGAAGCAGATGTTCCAGACGCCCTCGGCACGGAAACGAATTATACTGGGGTCTTCTGTTGCTGTCTTTAGCACGGTCGCTGGTTCGCTCTGGATGATTGCCATGCTTATTATTAGTTCTGAGCCCTTTCCCAGGAAATGTGATCGTTTCGTACTATCTTGGTGCGATTTATCATCACTGATGTCTATTAATGTGCTCACATCTTTCTAGGACAGATGCTCGACAATGCCGGGATCACCAGCAGCACCACCCAGTTACAGATCGTGAGTCGACGTGGCCCATCCATGCGTTGCTGAGATCCCGGCAGAACATCATCTTGAATGCATTCTGTCTGGTCTGCTCCCTGGCAGGAACGTACTTCGTTGACCGCATCGGCCGTAAAAGCACAGCAGTGATCAGCATCAGCTCTTTGACGATTTTCCTCTTCCTAGTCGGGGCGTTGACGAAGAGTATGCTGCATCTATCACTGAGTCATCATCATCCTGATATCGCCTACAGCCTTTGGAACATCGACGAACAACGCCGGAATCTATGCGACTGTGGCGATGATATTCCTGTTCCAAGGGGCGTACAGCTTCGGATGGACGCCTTTGCTGTACGTCTATCCGCCGGAAGTCTTGAATTACGCAGTCCGAGCCAATGGGATGGGTGTCTTCCAAATCGTCTTGAATGGCACAGCGTGAGTGACGTCCCTCCTGCGTCTAACATGTTTCACTGACCCCTAATAGGCTGATGGCGGTGTTCGCTTTCCCCATTGCTGTGGCCAACATCGGATGGAAGACTTATGTAATCAACGCAGCTTGGAATGCGCTCGAGGTTCCATTTGTTCTGTGGTACTGGGTGGAAACAGCCGGAAAGAGCCTGGAGGAGATTGACGAGTTGATTGATGGAAAACAGGTCTTTGGTGTTCCGGATCTCGAGGCCGAGCCTGAGGACACCGTTGCCGACGAGAAGTAGCATTTACTTATGATGTAATCTGTCGCCTGGCAACGTGTCAAATCTATGGGGCCCTCTTGGCGACGGAAAGCGAATCAGATGACACGATCAGTTCTATAAAGGTCCTGACTTCATTTTTAGTATCCGTTCCCTTCTCCCACTCTTTTCCCACTTTTACTTTCACGCCAGGAGCAGCGTATGTAATTCACTCATCGGAATCGGTGTCTTTATTGAATCATATACAACAGGCTCTTCATCTACTACCTTCACGCACGTCGTTCATAAATTCACAATGCACTTCCTCGCTCTCGCTACCGCCGCTGCGTCCCTGGCTTCCGCCGTCTCTGCCGCTACCATCACGGTCGCCGTTGGCCAGAACGGTCTGACATACACCCCCTCCAAGTACGTCTTCCATCCATGTGCTGCGGATCCTGCTCATTCCTTGAAAGCGTGACTGCAGCAGTGGGCGACGTTGTGGCTTTCAACTTGTGAGTAACGCGCGTTCTTGATACAGGCACCAATGTGCTTAATTTTTGGTCCAGCTTCCCGAAGAACCACGTATGAGCTAGTTTCTATGTCGGCCGCAAGCATCCTTATCATCGATTTAGACCGTTACTCAATCATCCTTCGCCAGCCCCTGCGCTCCCTTGTGCGTATATATGAACATTGACATATTCTGCACCGGACTGAAGCGGTGCTCAGGGCCAGCGGTATCAGCTCCGGGTTCCAGCCCGTGGCATCAGGTGCTGCCACCATCCCCCAATGGAGCTTTACCGTGAATGACGCGAGGTGAGTTGCATACATCTCCGTTTTTCTACGGCGTGTTTGACAACGTACTGTAGCAAGCCCCTGTGGTTCTACTGTGCTCAGGTCGGACACTGCGCCGGAGGCATGGTCTTCTCCGTGAACGCACCCGCGACAGGCAACACGTTCGACGCCTTCCAGGCTGCCGCCAAGGGTGGTGCTGCCACCACTTCTTCCGGCTCCTCCAGCGCCGCTGCCCCTGCTGGATCCGCCTCAGCCGCAGCTGGTGGTGCGGTCGCCTCAGCTGGCGGTGCAGTCGCCTCAGCTGCGGCTGGTGCGGCCGCCTCTGTCTCTGCCTCCGCTGGCGCCCCGGCAGCGTCCACGGCGGGTGCGATGATGACCCGTGCGGGTGGCATGAGTCTCATTGCTGCCGGTGTTGTCGCTGGTCTGCTGCTGTAAGCGGGGACACGGTGGCTCCTGAGTGCGCATTGTGTTTTTGGGAATCTCTACTCAGAGTTGGGACACTATCGTACCGTAGTGTGGCTAGTCCATGTTACATTGTACATATCTACGTGCTACAGTCGCGTAGCGGGAATACAAATAAACTCGATAAAACTGAGTCAATTGACACAATCACGCATGGTCTGGCACGGACATGCCTGGCATTCGTGAGACGCCGTTGGAAGAGAAGCGCCATTGGATACAGATCAGTATCCGTTACGTAAGTGCGACGCTGCGGGATAGGATGTTCATAACGTATCTGGCGCTTCAAGTTACCACCGGCGGGCAATCGTCAAGTCAGCGAGTATCGATATGGCATCACATGCACGATTTTCTCATCTATCCCGCGATTATTACCAGGTCGACCAATAAGACTGCTCAATGAGAGTCCAGTCCTAGATAGATGAAGGAAAGATCTCTACTTCTGGTTGCTTAATTACTGGCGACCTGGGCCTGTGTACGACTCTGCGTCTGAGAAAGAGGGGATGGGAACAATTGCAAGACTCATTCCTGAAGCTTTTGAAGTTTTGAAGTTCCCAGGCTACTTGTGCGCTGCTCGCAGTGCACAGTCCACGAGGATGATGATTGTCATTCAACAAGACTCAAGCATAGTCCATCGCTATGCGTCCAGCAGGGATCAGCAGGGACCCAGATACAGTGTATTTCGCGGATACCAGGATGAGCAGCCAGCCCAGATTTGGTGGAGCTTGCCGCCCTGAGAGCTTTGAAGCATGTCCTTTCTGGCATCATGATGATCAAACATAGACCAACAACTTCCTTCGGTCACTTCTCGCAACACTCTACTAGCAAGTATGCCGTTCCACAGTTTGACTTCAGGGATGCAGCCGATACTTATGCCATGAACCAGTGGGATCGTTAGACACGGCGGCGACCTTACCCCCCAGCTCCTCCGCGCTCAATAAATCCACCACGACCGCGCCAATCACTTCAACTTCTGGCGGCATGACACCCGAACTTGAATCTACATTGTCTCTGCTTTCTTCTCATCGCTCGGTCCTGGGCTATATACTCGTCAGCCGGGGACATCCGGTCAGCATCATACGACATTCGGGCAGCGTGTTCGACGGCGAGCAGGGTCGACGGTATGCCAGTGCCATTGGGAGGATCGTGGAGAGCGTGAGCACAGGTCTGGAGGAGGTGCACGGAAGTGCGGATGCGGATCCGGTGCGTCTATGCTCCCGTAACTGTCCTCGATCTGGGCTCATTCTGTGCAGGAGGATCTGCGATTCTTGCGCATTCGGACGAAGCGCCACGAAATTCTCATATCCCCTGGTGAGTGTTCCCTCATGAGACTCAATTGGAGGATGCTCTGACGAAGAGTAGACGACCGTTATCTTCTGGCTGTATTACACGATCCATCGACATGACCACTCTCCCTGTTCTTCTGCACTTTCTGCTTTCCTTGTATATCTATTTAGGGACTCTTGAATTATGGCGATCATCCCCTTAATCGCTCTGAAGGAACAAAGCCCCTGCCATTCCTTTCTCCGATGAAGAGAAATTGCATTCCGTCCGATCCCGTTAATGTACATGTCCCAGTCAATACACGCCTCGAAAGTGATCCTCACCCTTCTAGGATCCCCACGCTCTTCCAGCGCTCCCAGAGCATGCCCACACCGACGGCCGCACCAGGTTCACCACGAATATCTCGCTCATCGAATAGCCCGTATTGAGTGCCAAAGGCGAGAAAATGTGCAAAGAGGGAGTTGAAGTGAGGTTCGGCTCGAAGATGGAGAATTGCGGAATAGTGCGCATGGTACAAGTGTGCAAAGACTCGCAGGAGTTGGGTGTAGACCTGTTTCACCGTGGCAGGGAAGGTGTCTTTATCGAAAGGCTGACCTGAGCGAGCATCAGAAGGTCCGGGCGTTCATTCATGAATCTACACGCACTTGATTTGGTGGGGAACACATTCTCGTCGGCGATCAAGTTCTGCACGGTGGACATGACGAAGTCGATGTATGTCGGGGCAGACAAGGTCACTTTCTTCCTGTCTTGCACCCACAAGTAGTTCAATCTGTTGAGATCCGTCATGGTATAAGTATGCCATGATGTATCCAACGCAGATACCAGCCACATACGTCGGACCACCGGACATGGTAGGACAGCTCTGCTGAGTGCAACACTCCGTCAAGACCCCGTAGAACTCGTTCAGATTCGTATAGAAGTCGTAGACTGGGAGATGCATCAGACATGAAATCCGGGATGCATACATGCAAGAGAAGGAGTATCACGCACTGTTGACCGCAACCCATTCATTCGGATCGACGTACTTGGGTTGCATGACAATGGTCTTGAAGTTGCCCTTAACGAGAGCAGCATCGGCAAACGGGCGTGAGAGATACAGAGGTTTGGGCCCGCTCGGGACGCCAGGTGAGGGTGGCTCGGAGCCAGCAGAGTCCTTTCGGCTGAGTTGCCGTGTTGGAGTCGGTGAACGCTTTGAACGCGGAGGCGCACGATTTCGACTGCACACAGGAGGTTTATATGGCAAGGACCAGGAACACGAAGATGGGACTGACTTGAAAAAGGACATGACCAGATCGTGGTGGTGGGGAGCAGAATTGGCTGGCACTGACACGCTGATGCCTTGACGACAGTAGGTGGAGGCGATGTACGGATTGGGAAATAGACGGCCCGAAAGCCGACAACTACCAGGTGTAATATTCAAGAACTCGAGTTCAAGGCTTCAAGACTCTCGAAAATTGTAAATGTAAATACGCGAGCGGGAGGGGTAGAGACCTATAGAGAACAGTCCAATTTTATCTTTATTAGGTTCAATGAGGCCTGTAGGCTTGAATACTCAGACATGGAATGATACGCGATCACCTGACTGTACTACGGACTTTCGACACAAAGTACACAGCAGACCCTAATGAAATGGCGACTGTAAGAACGCTTGGAATGCTCTAGTAAATGTAGCGGTGGGCCCTATACACTTTCAACTAACTCCCTGAGGGAGATGGCCAAGTGACTTTCATGGCAGTTACTTACCGGACTGAGTCACATTGAAACTTACACCCTGAGGCTTGTGCGCTCAAGTTCATTTAGAGCAGGTAAGGAGAATTGTACTTGTAGCTGACTTGAACTCTGAAGATGTCATACCCGATCCACACGAACATGAAACTACAGACGGACATAACTGCCAGATATATCCATCGTTATGGTTCTGTTGAAAATATCTTCCGATACACAGTTGTGGGTGAATAAAACTCGATCTGACGAAATTAAAATTTCAAAATTGTCAATGCAAGTGAAACATGTGACTGACATGTGACCGCGTTTAATCAGACTTGGCATTGTTTAGGCAGATTGAAATCGAACGACTCCATTTTTCCGAACCCCCTATTGCACAGTTGTTCTGTGCCGCTCATCGCTCGCTTTCTATGGAGTTGGCTTGAGTTCAAGAGACTCTTTCTTCATGCGACTCGCTCGGAGTTGAGCTCGTGCGGATGACAGATGGGAACATTCGCTTCGTGCGACACGCGTGTTTGATCCCGCGTACGGCACTCGTGACCACGTGACACAACTCAACACTGGACCCTCCTTGTCCTTGTTGTGTCTTCACGCATAGGCTCGTTCCACAATGGACTACCCGCAGCCACCTGAGGGCTCCACTGATGTTTTCTCCGTCTCTGACCAAGGTATGTCGCGTCGCGTCCACTGCCTAGTTCTTCCCGCGTCACTGACTCCACCCTCACAGTGCTTTCTGAGAAACTACAATTCATTGAGGAGATTGGATTTGGCAACTGGGGCAGCGTATGGTTGTGTCAACCCAAGCCTTCATCTCCCAACGGCGACAATGCTGATGAAGAGGGCATTGTACGCGTTCGCGAAGCCAAGATCGCTGTGAAGCTCGTGCATCGGTCCAAGACCTCGACCACCGCTGCGCGCGTCAGGTCCTTGTGAGTCAAGTCTCTTCTTGCTAAGCCTCCTTCTTTTGGCTTCTTCGTCTCGATTCGACGCGTTCTGACATTCGTCTACCTGCAGATGGAACGAGATGAAGATCGTTCGGTCCTTCAAAGCGGACCCGCACCCGTCGATTGTTCCATTCCACTCTTTCATTATTACGCCCTCCTACGCGTTGATAACTATGTGCGTATTCGTTGACGCGTCTCGGTCGCTCTTGCGCCCGCTGTCAACCGTCTGACAAACAAACACCGACTGACTACTATCTACACAGGGCCTACCTTCCCAAGCTCATCCCTGTCGAAGTAGAAGAGACTAAGGCCCGGGAATGGTTTCGGTTCCTTCTTTCCGGCGTGGAGTTTCTCCATAAACGAGGGGTTGTCCATAATGACATCAAGTGCGTAAACTGGTACCGTCCTGGACGAGCGTGTCTGAATACTACCCTCAGGCCGGCCAACATACTTCTGTCCTCCAAGAACATTCCTGTCCTGGTCGACTTTGGCTTCGCAGAGAAGTACGATGTGAAATCCAAGATGGCATTCCATAGCAATCTGTCGTATGGTACGCCAGAGGTAAGCTGGGTCACATTCAGCCTCCTGCCTATGGCCGACCGACTTTTAATTGTAGTATCTCTCGCCTGAACGCGCACGAGGACTCCCGCACGACACACGAAAGTCCGATGTCTGGTCCCTCGGCATCACTTTCTTTGAAATCATTGTCGGGAGGACACCCTTCGAGCATTCGGACTCTGAGCAGTTCTCGACAAAGGAGGATCTGGAGAAGTATTGGGCCCGTACAGTGCGTTCTTCGAAGACCTCATCTCTATGCTTACATTGACGTTTTGGATCAGCTGCGAGGTAAATGGATTGGGTCGTGGAAGATGTCCAAAGGCATGGAGCGACTGCTACGCAAGATGATCTCGCCCAATGCGGATTTGCGCTGCACCACTTCTGATGCGATGGACGACTCGCTCTGGCGCTCTTCCAAAGAGTCCGAGTCTTTGCACAGTACGTATATAAGCCTGCGCTGGGCATCTCTGAGTTACTGACCCTGTTCGCCCAGGACGCGCTGCGAGCTACAACTCGTCACTGACTTTTGAGAGCAACCGCTCCTCTTCTTCTAGGTTGCACGGTGGCGGTGCCTCTGATAAAGAGAATAGTTTCTCGCCACCAGGACTCGCTAGTCCTGTGGCATCGACATCGTCGAAGGAAAATAGCTTGCAGCGTAGTCTGACCAAGTCTAAGTCGCAGCCGAAAGTGTCAAGCTTGAACAAGAGTGCGTGGGAACGACATACTCAATGGAAGCTGACTCTGACCTCATCCCCAGTTCAAGTCACAACGCGAAAACGCGTGCCTGTTCCCCCTGTTGTCGACTTGTCCCCAATCAAAGGCTCGCCAACGGCGTCTCCGGCGAAACAACACGTCATGGCCACCTTGAACAACAATAGCAGACGAACACGCGATAATTTGCCGCTTGCCCCGAAGGACACTAACAGGGTCAAGGCAAATGCGCAGCCACCAGTCAAACCTCTATCCGAGCTGACAGGGAACCGGGCGCCCGTCAAGCGGGACTCGGTGCGGGACCGAGTGAGGGAGTGGGAAAGAGAAAAGGAGAGACTGAGAGAGATGGAGAGATTGGATGAATTGGAGCGGGAAAGAGATGCTCAGATTGAGGCTGAACGTGCGAAGAAACAACAAGAGGAGGATGAGAAGGAGAATATGCAGCAGCAACAGCCGCAGCAGATTCCATCGACACCAGCTCCCAAAACTCAGGTGTCTACCGCCCCGGTGACTTCTCCTCGCAACCACAGCTTCAACATCCCTAGCTTCAAGCACAGTGTGAAGCTGTCTTTCGGTGCGCGACTTGCATCATTGATTAGCGTATCTCTGACACAGATCCAGATAAGACTCTACAATTCTACAAAAATACGACGACCGCTGGCCGGTCTTCGAAGACTTTGGACGGCGGCGAATCGCAGCATAGCAGTACGAGGCGCGAGTCTTGGGAAGATGAAGAGTTTGAACGGGATGGTGAGTTGCCTGTTTCCTTTCGGTCCTTTGGCTGACTGGGTGTCAGTGAAATCTTCGCTTCCCGTCGTCCGACACGCGTTGCACAATGAACGAGTTGCGGAAGACAACCGAATGGATCGGATGGCTATTTGGATGCGCAACGTCGAGCGTGTAGTCGAAGATACGCGCCAGAACTTCGCCTCGTCCTCGACCGAAGTGACGCCTCTGCCTCCGCTGCCGCTTCCGGTCTCCCCCATTTCCCGCGCCATACCGAGAGTCCAGACCAGCCGCTCGTCTCGCTTGCCTCGTAAGATTCTGGCCGCAAGTCAGATCTTTTCGGACGCGGACTCGAGCATGAATATGTCGTCTATGGATGTTGCGGCGAATACTTCTGCTGGTGCTGGATTCAGCGAAGGAACGAGCCAGATCATGGCTCAGTTGCGTACTCCTGTGCGTCCGCGGAGAGCGACTGTCAGCACTGGGTCGCCTGGAGATGGAGCTGACCAGTTGGAGACTGGATCTCCATCGAAGCGCAAAGAGAAGAGCAGATCTCACGCGGACCTGATAGACCGACGGATTTCGCCGTTGGAGCAACTGGAGAAGGAGATTGCTAAACGTTAGTGTTATCTATTGGTTCTCGCCAGTCACTAACGCATTCTCTGCAGCGATCGTCTCGGCTCCTTCACCGCGACTGGCAGATGTTCTGGACCGGAGTTTGATCATTGCGTCGCCAGTATCCAAGCGCTCTGACGACCGCAGCCGATCATTCGACGAGCTCAACTCTTCACCATATCACGTTGAACCATACAAGGTGCAATCTCCTGCGGAAATTCCCGACTCTCCCAGCGTGCGGCGTATGGAAGGTGTCTATGATCGGTTCCTGATGGCCACCACCGGTGTGAAGCGTGTCGGAAAGGGCTACCAATCAGATAACGCCGGACCTGTTTCGTATACCGTCGGCGGGGCAGGCAAGGAGAACCAGCGACCTGTCCCCCAGAGGCAGTACCGGACGTTCAACTCGGCGCGTCGGGCGATGCAGCCACCGGTGTCGAGCGAGGACTACAAGCGCCAGAGTGCGTCGGTCGACGAGTTGGGGATGATGACGTACCCTGCGGCACCCTGCACCCCGAAGGAGCATGGCACCAACACCAACACCATCACGCTTGTTCGCCGAGCGTTCAAGGCATTCGTCCCTGGCTCCAAGCGCATTTCGAGGGTCGGCAACTAGGCTCTCATGTGCGTCTATTTATCCCCCCCACCGGTACATCCCACATTCTTTCGAACATTTATTTCGACTTTCTGCCGCTGTGTTATCATTATCGTCTCTTGTCAATGTTCTTTGCTTTGCTCACGCTATGCTACGACCTGCTACTACGTACTTACGCATTACCTCACGCATCTGCTCATGCTATCTATTCCTCACCTCACGCTTACGCTTACGCTGTCGATGATTCTTCTGCTTACTCTTCATTTGTATACGTCCATCTACAACGTCTTCTTATGTTTACTGTATCACTCAGAATGCTCAAAGTGATTCCAAGCAGAATCTGCTGAATATGTATCGTGGAGCGTGGTGAAAGCACACTCCCGCTGGACCTATTTTGGACAAGGTATTCCAGCACATCCGTCACGTGCCAGTGCTCTTGTTCCCAATCCAGAACAATGCCCCTAGGCGCAGAAGAATGCTTAAAGGAGCCCTGCCCCAAATGTGCCCGGCATTTACGCCACAAAGCGCCTTTAACTAACTTCTCTGTCGACGATCCTCCGCATGGATTCCCTAATGACACCTGCCCACTCCCAACGACTCAAGTTCCTGCGATCCATCCGGAAGCTCGGAGACTTGATCACAGACTCCTCGACGTTATTGGAGGGACCACTGTCGTATGGACCATCCCTCGTTCAGCATTGCTCTTTTCATTGACGCGTCGTTCAGTCCGACATCTCCGATATTGGGACCCGCACAAGGTTCCTCCCGCGCCTTCCTGTCGCTGCGCCTGTCGTCAAAAGAGCGCGCCCTCCGACTCTCACCGTCGGCGGAATACCCCGCGATCTCAATCTCACCCTCATTCAACGTCAGCCTGCCGCCGAGCCCGAGCGACTGGGACTCCGACACGGACGCGGTGGCGTGCGACCCGATCCAGAAGCTGGCCAAGGTGCAGCGCACGCTGGGGAGCAACGTCCCGCCTTCGCTTGTGCTGGACTCCGTGCTTGGGGGTGGCGGAAAGCGCACCTGCAACCGCAACCGCTCGAGCACCGTCAGTGCGGCGCCCGAGTGCACGGCCGCGTCGGGCGTTGTCGCGCGGCGGAGGCGACAGCCGCACGCGCGCACTGGATCGCGCGCGGCCCTCCGCCACGCGTCCTCTTCCTCTTCAATGCATAGTGCGGCCGTCCCGGGGGACGTGGGCCAAGAGTCGGAGGAGCCGTTCTCGTTCGAGCGGCTGATGCCCGTCCCGTCTGGCGCCGGTTCCACGCAGGCAGTGGGATCTGACGACCGGGACTCGGACGACACGAGGAGCGGGATGTACAGGAAGGAGGTGGGATGGAGTGGGGAATGGAGCGGGGACGTTAGGTGCTTGGAGGATGTTGTAAAGGGGTTGCGCGAGCTCAGGTCGAGCTGAGGTGCCTTCTTTTCCGCCTGGCGCGCGTATGTATCATTTCTCGGAACAATGTGTAGCGATATTGGCCACCCACACTCTATCTTACTTTACCATTCTGTAGTACTTATGTGCATGTATCGATAATTTTTCGCCGTGGGCAGCATCGATTTCAGAGTTGGCGCATCGAATGTACTGAGGTGTTCTGGCCGACGGATCAATGATGACGCGCACACTATCTCTCTCTTCGCCATGACGTCGACCACCACCAGGCGCACTTTTCTCGTCACTGGCGCGAACCAAGGTGTGCTCTCTCCAGCACGTTCTTGCGGGACGATCGGATTCCCATGCATCGCCAGGGATCGGCCTGCACACAGTGCATCAGCTGGCCAAGACACCCGGTGTGGTGGTTTTTATGGGTACCACACGTCGATAACAATACCGATCATCTCCGGACTAACGGCATACTTACAATTACAGGCTCCAGGAAACTCGCTGCTGCGGAGGCAGCGATCGCGTCGCTTCCCTCCGAAATTGATCCATCGTCCAAGATCGTCCCCGTCCAGCTGGATATCACGGACGACGCCTCGCGCGCCGCTGCGTTCCGGACGGTCTCTGAATACGTATCGGGCGAGGGGCTGGATGTTCTGATCAACAAGTGAGCGCGGATCCTGAATTTGGTGGGTTGCTCGTCGTTGACATGCAGCCCAGTGCGGGGATTGGTGCCTTTACCACAGAGTCAGGGACTAGTAGTGCTGCTGCTGACAGCGAAAATGGAGGCTAACGGCGCACAGCTCGACCAACACGATGCGGGACATCTTAGAAGTGAACGTTGTCGGCACCGCTGCGATCACCGAGACGATGAAGCCCCTGCTGAACAAAAACGGGGCGATCATCAACATCACGTCGTCCGCCGGCTCCTTCGCGATCTACTCCGCCTCTACCCCGTCGTTGTCCACGTTCCCGGCGTACTGCTCGAGCAAAGCCGCGGCCAACATGTACACGCTGCAGCTGGCGATCGACGAGAAGAAGGCGGGCTCGGGCATCCGCGTCGTGGCTATCTGCCCAGGCTACGTCTCCACGAAGCTGAATGGCTTCACCGGGGTGATGGGCCCTGAGGTGGGCTGCCAGGTCATCGTGAAGACCGCGCTGGAGAAGGAGGGGGAGACCGGTGTCTTCTTTAACAAAGACGGCCCTGTCGGCTGGTGATTGGCTCCAGCGTTGACCAGTACATACCACACAATGGATCTGAATTGCAACCGTGGGAATCTTTCACACGTTAGATCAAAATTTGTGGCAGTGCTGCTCATCGATCTCCTTCGAGCGACGCACTCGCCGCTAGTCTTTGGAACTTGACATTGGTCTCTCGCGCCACCATCATGCGCGCTACCTGGCTCTTGGAAAACTCTGACCTGAGCGCACGCTCCCCTCCAAAGAAAAACGAGCCCCTGTAGGTCTCAGAAACAACAGGGAGTGGTCGTCTCGGCCACTTTCTTTTGTTGTGCTTGCTCCTCGCAACCACTTCCCCTTGCCCAAAAAATTCCACGCATTCAAATTGGACCTCGCCTGTATGTCTGTCACAGGCACTAGCGACGGAATGTCACAGCGCTCCTATAGCTAAAAACCCGCACCTGCGCGATATACGCCATAGCGGAGCCCTGCAACACAGCCAAACGGGATCAAATGTCTGTGATGCCCGCACGGGGGGTATGCCCTGCGAAGGATATAAAATCCGCGCCGGACACACGGAATGCTTCTGCTTCTTCCTGCCTGCCTCGTGCTCCTCCCGTGCCTGCGCCCCCATGACTTCTCCTGACGCATTACTGGAAGGCGGCATCCACAAGAAGCGCACGGCGGTGAAGCTCGGCGGCACGGCGCTGCTCTACCTCAGCTTCCAGACGCTCGGGATCATCTACTCCGACATCGGCACGTCGCCGCTGTACGTGCTCAACGGCATCTGGCCTGCGGCGGGCTCGGTGCCGGCTCCCGAGGACGTCGTCGGCGGCATCAGCGCGATCATCTGGGCCCTAACGCTGCTTCCGCTGATCAAATACGTGGGTCCCTGTGCCCCGCGAGACGCTTCGTGTGTGCTGATGATATGCTTTTAGGTGTTCATCAGTCTGTTCTTTGGCACCGGCGAAGGTGCGGAGATCGTTCGCGCGATTTGTGGTGCTCCCAGCCTGACTGTTTCCGCCAGGCGAGGGAGGCCCGTACGCTCTCTACCAGGGGCTCTATCCCCCCGAGACCCCGGACGGGGACATGGACCGGACGCTCACGGGCGACAGCTACAAGACTGCCGCCCCCAAGTCGAGCATGAGCGAGAAACTGCGCCTGCCGCTCCTGGCCTGGGTGAGTGTCGTCGGTCTGTGCTGGCGATGTTTTGTGATTGACTGGCCCTCTCCAGTGTCTATTTGGAACTGCGTACGTTTTGTGTCGCCGATGTAGTGGCTTTGGATGGCTGACGGACTTGTCTGCTCCAGCCTGACCATGGCTGACGGTGTTTTCACCCCCGCTGTTGTGAGAAACCTTCTTGAGCGCCGCTCGTTTCCGGATTGATCCTTTCTCAGAGTGTTACCAGTGCAGTCGGTGGGATCGCCGTCGCAAAGGCCTCTGTTTCCCAGCAAATTGTTCCCATCTCCATCGCTCTGCTCGTCGCTATCTTCCTTTCGCAACGTTTCGGGACCGGTGGACTTGCGCCGTTCTTCGCGCCAAGTGGGTTCCAAGAAATCCTTCTGCCCTCTCGCCGACTGACTGGCCCGCAGTTGCGCTTGTATGGTTCCTGCTACTGGCCGGGACTGGTATCTACAACATCACCTTCCACCCGGCCATCTTCCGTGCGTTTGATCCTTCGCGTGCGGTTATGCTCTTTGTGCGGACCGGCAACTACGACATACTGGCGGGTGTGCTGCTTGCTGTGACGGGATGCGAGGCTGTCTTTGCCAAGTGGGTTGCGGTTTTCTCTTGCGAGCCACACGTCGTGACCTGACCCTTATCTCAGCTTGGGTCAATTCAACGCTGCGTCCATCCGCGTGAGTCTTTGCTCGTGTCATCAGTGCCTCGCACACCATCTGACGGGGGCACAGATTTCGTTCAGCTTGTTCGTCTATCCGGCTCTGGTGCTCGCGTATCTGGGACAGGGCGCTCGTCTGATCGACGATGGTGAAGCTGTATTGAGCAACATCTTCTACAACACAATCCCGGGACCTGCGAATGGCCCATTGTTCTGGTCAGCCGATCGAGTCTGATTGTGGATGGCGCTGAAAGAGCATCACAGGATCGTGTTTGTGTTTGCGATCCTTGCGACGATCATCGCCTCTCAGGCGATGATTACGGCCACGTTCAGTCTGACGCAGCAGCTGGTGAACATGAAAGCGCTTCCGCCGCTCAAGTTGTCGTACACATCCGACACGATCCAAGGCCAAGTGTACGTTCCCACGGTCAACTGGATCCTGATGATCATCACCATCGTCGTCGTCGCTGTCTTCTCCAACCTGGCGAACATGACCAATGCGTACGGGTTTGCGGTCGCGACTGTCATGTTTTCAACGACGCTTCTGTTGACGATGCACATGCACTGGGTCAAGCACTGGCCCGTCGTCATTGTCATTGGGTACTTCCTGGTCTGGGGCTTCCTCGACGGGCTTTTCTGGGGTGCCTCGCTGAAGAAGGTGCCACTGGGCGCCTGGGTTCCGCTCATGATCGGTGTCATTCTGTGAGTCACATAGTTTGACTGAGGGGAATGCGTGACTGATCCATGGGACAGTATGGCGATCATGTCGTTCTGGACGTGGGCCAAAGGCCTCGAGGACAGATTCGACGGCGAGCACCGCACGAACCTCCGCCATGTCATCTACGCCAACGCTGTCGAGGAAGTCGTCGAAGACGAGCAGGACGTTCTGACCGCCGAGTCCAAGTCCGAGCTGAACTATATGCTCGAGAACGAGAAGGGGGAGGAGAAGCAGCCGCTTGTGCGCCTGCAGACGTGTGCTGTGTTCCACAAGATCACGCGAGGCAAGGGTGTGCCACATACTTTCGTTGGTATGTTGCGCCGTCTCTGCCTTCGTGGTCATCAGTTTTCATTCGGTGTCACACAGGCTTCATCCGACAATGGCCTGCTCTGCCGCGCGTTGTTGTGAGTATGCACTTGGCGACGTCGGGCTTGCGTCTCACGAACTGCAGATCTTTCTCACCGTGTCAGTCGTGCCTCTCCCCCGCGTACCCGAGTCCGAGCGCTACGCCGTGACGAAAGTGCGCACGGTCGAGGGTTTCTATGGTGTCACAGCCTACCTCGGCTTCCGGGAAGAGCTGGACATGAACGTGAGTTATCTGAACTTTTCGATTATCCGTGCAGCGCAATCTGAGACTCCGGCCAGTCTGATGCCTTGATCGAGCAAATCTGTACCCTGGAGTTGCAGCTCGACCCGAAGGACGGGGCGGCCAAAGTCGCCCAGATCCGGGCCGTATCCCGCTCAACAACGCACATGTACGACCTATGTCGCGTCTCCCCCGCCCGCTGACGATGTCTTTTTTTCGCAGCGCACCGCACTACCATGTCGTCAGCAGGCACGTCGACGCGGGCGTCTTGTCCTTCCCCATCAACTGGCTGCGGAAATACCTCATCGAGGACATCTACCGCCGTTTGGCGGTTATGTTCCCCGAGAGCGGGAACTGGCGGTCTGCTGAGGAGTGCGTGTTTTCTCGTTCCCCCCTGCTGGCGTACATGGCTGACCAGTCGCTGCTTAGAATCATCCGTGTCGGGATCAATGCTGAGATTTAAGGCGGCGCACACCCATTTGGGCGGTCTGTTCTGTTGGAGCTATTGGATTAGAAATGTATACCAGTCATATCAACACATGTACTGTACGTAAGTAGTGGTTGGTTATAAGGTGACAGATTAGATCGATAGATGGTGGTGGCCCGGATCTAATCATCTCGTGCCCGATCGGTAAGTAAGTACTTATGGAGAGATCGGGAGAGAAGAAACACGTGTGTTGTTCTGCCGGAGTGCGATCGCCGTCATGGACATCCTCCGGCTCCGTGCAGTTGTAGATTGCCAAATGGAGACATCGGATTCATCCTCCAGCTCCAGCGAGAGCACGCGACACTACGTGCAAGATGCCAACTTGCGGTGGCATGAAAAGGGTTAGTAAGCGGGAAAATGCGCAGATATTATAGTACGTCACAGCGACGCGTCTGGCAATGCGCACCTGTCATTCTGTAGATCATGCAGGGTCCCTTCGTATTCGGATCCTTCTGACCCTGTCATCATCGACGCATTGACCCCGCAACGGGCACACGTTCTCCAGCCACCCCGCGCTGCACCCCGCGTGCCCATCACTCGGGTCTCCACCCCGCATCGCGCCATCCTCGCAGCATCGGAGAATCACATTCCCGCGCCGAGCAGGGGCAGCACACGGCACCATGATCAGCGGACTGGTTCCCGTTTCGTATAAAGACGCGTGGGCGTACGCGAGCGCCAAGCTTGAGGACCTCGCGCAGACTAGGATGCGCTCAGTGCTGTTTACCGGAACGCTCTCGCTGTGCGGCGCGGCGCTCGCCCAGGCCTCTGTGGGCTCGTATGTCGCGAGCGAGGGGCCCATCGCCAAGGCGGGGTTGCTGGCGAATATCGGTCCTAGTGGGGCCAAGTCGTCTGGCGCATCGGTATGTACATGGTGGAGTCGTTATTGCCCGCCGGACTGGGCGCTGATATGGGCCAATGCAGGCTGGTGTGGTCATAGCCAGCCCCAACACGGTGAACCCGAACTACCTGTATACCTGGGTGCGCGACTCGTCACTGGTGTTCAAGGTCCTCGTCGACCAGTAAGCAATTTGCGCGCATTTAGTCACCTCAGTGTGGTGACTATCTGCAGATTCACGACTGGGCAAGACACCACGCTGCTGGGCCAGATCAACAACTTCATTGCGGCGGAGAGCGCGCTGCAGCAGGTCTCCAACCCGAGCGGAACTGTGTCCACTGGTGGGCTGGCGGAACCCAAGGTAAGCCCGATCATCGCGTAGCCTTACGATCCGATCATACTTCTGCTTAGTTCAACATCGACTTGACTGCGTTCACTGGTCCATGGGGACGGCCTCAGCGCGGTGGGCATCATCTCGTCGTGTTGCTCAACGCATAGCTGACTGCTCCGTGAAGATGGACCCGCGCTCCGCTCGACGACGATGATCACGTATGCCAACTGGCTGGCGAAGAACACCAGCACGTCCAACGTCCTCAATAAACTGTGGCCTGCCATCAAGCTTGATTTGGATTACGTCGTGAACAACTGGAACCAGACAGGGTTCGTGGAGTAGGACGTGTTTTCTCGACGCGGTGCTGACCCATAGCACAGCTTCGACCTCTGGGAGGAAGTGGACTCGTCCTCGTTCTGGACGACCGCGACCCAGCACCGCTCGCTGCGTCAAGGGGCTGCGCTCGCGACCAAGCTCGGGCAGAATGCGACGGCGTACGTGACGCAAGCGGATAACCTGCTGTGCTTCCTGCAGAGCTACTGGAACCCGAGCGGTGGGTATATGACTGCCAACACGGGTGGTGGGCGCTCAGGGATCGATGCGAACACGCCGCTCACGAGCATCCACACGTTTGATCCCGCTGCGGGATGTGTGAGTCGACCGCTGTTGAGCGCGAGTGAGGTGGCTGATGGGCTTTCGCAGGACGCGAAGACGTTCCAGCCATGCTCGGACAAGGCACTGTCGAATCTGAAGGTCTATGTGGACTCCTTCCGGTCTATTTACGGCGTCAATAGCGGTATCGCGTCGAATGCCGCAGTTGCGGTGGGTCGGTACCCTGAAGACGTCTACCAGGGAGGAAACGTACGTCGTATTGGCTCTGATGACCGATTACGCATTGAGCTGTGACCCCGTTAGCCGTGGTATCTTGCCGTCGCTGCTGTTGCTGAGCAGCTGTACGATGCACTCTTTGTTTGGAAGCAGCAAGGATCGTTGCAAGTCACCTCGATATCGCTGGCTTTCTTCCGCCAGTTCGAGTCATCCGTGACCGCAGGGACCTACTCCTCGTCTTCCTCGACGTTCAAAACGCTGACGGCTGCGATCAAGACCTTTGCGGATGGTTTCATTGCTATCCACGCCAAGTACACACCTTCGAATGGAGGCCTCGCTGAGCAATTCGACCGGAAGACAGGGGCACCATTGAGTGCTCTGGACCTCACGTGGAGCTATGCTGCCGCCTTGACCGCGTTTTCTGCCTACAACGGTGTTGCTCCCGTGAGCTGGGGAGCGGCGGGACTCTCTGTCCCCTCCACGTGCCATACTGGGCCGCAGGGTCCCACGGCCACTGTGACATTCAATGTCGTTGCCACGACTGTCTTCGGAGGTGCGCGCTGATGTCTTTTCGGGGTCTGCCCGTGCTGATGACGGGGACAGAGAACATCTACTTGACTGGTTCGGTTGGAGCGCTGATGAATTGGACGCCGACGAGTGCGCTGTTGATGTCTTCTGCGAATTATCCCACCTGGAGCAGTGCGTGCCATTTCTATGCCTTTCATGATGCTGGCTGATTGCTTGTTACCGCTACGCAGTCACGGTGAAGGTGCCGGCCTCGACGGCGATCGAGTACAAGTACATCCGCATCAACAACGGCGCCGTCACGTGGGAATCCGACCCCAACAACCAGTTCACGTCGCCTGGTGATGGGCAGTCGACGACCTTGAATGACTCTTGGCGATGAAATCGCTTTCGCACTGCAATAAAAATAACTTGATGTCCTTCAAATTGTATTCGTAATTTTTCGCTGTGTGTTCCGTAAAGCCCGATATGTCTAGTCAAGGAACGAAAGATTATCCGCGTGGTCCTTCTAGATGCGAAGAGAAGACTCGCTTGGTTTTCGCTCGATTTCATGATTCTTCATCTACTCCGTCGATTAATTAACGTGGTGCGCGAGGCCCCCGGTCACTACCGGCCATTTGCGTAAGGGTGAGTGATGAGGATGCCCGCAAGCCACGAAAAAAAATGGATTTAGTCCGAATTTTGGCCCAAGGCGCACGAAAACCGGGGAAAGGGGTCGATATTTGGGGTGATCTCAGTCCGATCAGCGTCTGGCAGCAAAGTCATACAGTATAAGTCACGCGCCGGGACAAGCCGACCTGGTCAATAGTGACCAGGGGCCCGGTGCGGTCGACGATCTGGAATGAATCACGAGAAACTTGATGAACTGCCAATGTATCTGGACAGTTGAGGTAACTAGAATAGCCTGGATCTACCACCGAGAGCGCATTCGGAATATTGATGTTTCGTCTGACCAGCGGCTTGGGTGCAAGCATTCGAGTTCGATAAGAAAAAAAGCTTACGAAAAATTGGGTACGTATATAGGAAATGCGCAAGCTGACAGTCAAACAGTGGCTGTTCGTCATCCATGTTGGATTGTTGAGGCAGTCACGGTACCGCGTAGAATATCATGTGACCCCATGACATTGATTGTGATTCTTGAAACAGTCACGATTGATCTGCACCCGCCGACTTCTTTCTACGCGCCATCCCTTTTCTGTTTATAGATGCGCACAATAACGCACTAGAGTTAACCAGGTCTCAAGATACGTATCTGTGTAGATGGCGCCTGCACTCGACTCCCAAATAGCTTTCGCGATACAGATCCGTTTCTATAAAGCATAGCGCATCTGGGACATGAGGGATCCTCCAACTTCGTTGTGTAAGACATGCGAGGTCTCATCGCGAGATTTGTGGCAGCTCTGCTGCTGTCGCCCCTCAGGGGGGTAGACGCGTATGCCGTCTTCGCGCACTTCATGGTGATTCTGTCCCGATCGCTTCGCCACTGTCCCAGAACCTCATCATCGACGGTACTGAACAGATCACGAACACTGCGTCATGGGGCGTCGCGGACTGGGTTAGCGACATGCAGACTGCGCAGGCGGCCTCCATCGACGCCTTTGCGCTCAATATGGCTGTCGGGGACTCCGCCAACGGTCAGCTCGGGAACGCGTTCGCGGCTGCACAGACCACGGGCTTCCAGCTGTTCATCTCGTTCGATTATGCAGGGAATGGACCGTGGTCGCAGCAGAGTGTGATCGATACGCTGACGCCCTGGATCGGCAACGCGCATTACTTCAAGAAGGGCAGTAGTCCCGTCGTTTCGACCTTTCTTGGCACGGCGCAGCACGGGGATTGGAATTACATCAAGAGTGTTACTGGGTGCTACTTCGTGTGTTTATCAGTCTATCCCGCTCTCCCGGCGCTCTGACGCTCTCGAAGATTCCAGTCTGGTCGTCTGTAAGCGCGAAAGAGGCGTGGGGATATGGCCAAGTGGGTTGCCCTCTTTCCCTCTGCCGGTTTGTCTCTGAATTGTCGTATAGGCGAACGGGTTGTTCAGTTGGGCAGCGTGGCCAACTGGCCCTGCGTCAATGAATACATTCCCCGATGCCTCGTACCTGCTGGTCAGTCGTGGTGCTTTGAGGGCCGAACACGCGCTGACCATCCCCAGTTCATGAACGACAACATCGATAACCGCCCGAACGGGACCAACTACATGATGCCTGGTGTGTCTGTCTGAGAGCAATTCGCTATCACATGCTGATGGTACATGAGTGTCGCCGTGGTTTTACACCAATCTTCCCGGATACAACAAGAACTGGCTCTGGAACGGGGACACGCTATGGTTCGATCGATGGGACCAGGTCTTTTACACACGTCCGGACTTTGTGGAGATCATCACATGGAACGATTACGGAGAGTCTCACTACATTGGTGTGTCATCCGCGTCTCCCTCCATGATCCTGCTCAATGAGAGGGATAGGTCCTTTGCATTCCAGCTCTTTCACAGCCTTCAGCATCGGGAACGCACCTTATAACTACGCAGATGGCATGCCTCACGACGGATGGCGCGCCTTTCTTCCGTATGTTCCATTATCTCTGTTATTCTCGCGGCCCGTGCCGATGGTCCTTTGATAGTTACTTAATCGCCACCTACAAGACCGGCAAGGCAACGATCACCCAGGAACTGCTGACCGCTTGGTTTCGGCTCACTCCTGGGACCGCATGCGCCGACGGAGGCACGACCGGCAACACCGCATCTCAGCTGCAGCTTGAGTACCCGCCCGCGCAGATTCTGCAGGACAAGATCTACTTCGCTGCGCTCCTTGCCGCCGAAGTCGCACCCAGCGTCACGGTCGGAGGGAGTGCTGTGTCTGCCCAGTGGGACAATCGTCCGTTCGGCGGCGTAGGCATCTTCCGGGGGAGCGCTGCGTATGGCGGAAGTCTCGGCTCCGTGGTCGTGACAGTAGGCGGGATGACTGTTTCCGGCCAAAGCATCACGAAAGTGTGCCAGGGTGGGATCACCAACTGGAACGCCTGGGTCGGCGGTGCTACTGGCCCGAGCACAAGCGTTGCTCCATCCTGGAGCATCTACGATACCAATGCTTCGTGTGTCGCTGGATCTAGCGTGCGTTCAGAGAGTTCCGTATCTCGCTTCCCTTCTGACAATAAAGTCAGGTCGGTAATTACATTGGTCTGTGCAGCTTCGCATGCCAATACGGTGCGTCGTTTGTCGGACTGGGACGATCTCCCGTGATTCATCGATTGACTGATAGGTTACTGCCCGTATGGCTCTTGTGTCTGCGACGAGATGGGCCTCCAGTCCAAGAGGCCACCTCCAACTACGACCGCAGGATATCCTGCTGCTGGATTGGATTCGACCTACCAGGGTCTTTGCTCTTTTGATTGTACTTACGGGTTCGTGAAATCTGGTGCTTGGGTCTTGTATGCAGCTGAGGACGTCACCAGCTACTGTCCAATGCCTGCCGCTTGCGACACGGTCAGCCACCCACTCGCGACCGCGACGATCTCGCCCTTCAATCCGAATACGTGTGTGAGCGGGCACTTCATCTCTGATCCAAACATGCAAGGGTTGTGTAGCTTTGCGTGTGGGTATGGGATGTGTCCGATGCACATTTGTCAATGTGATGTGACGGGTCCGCAACCTGTGCTTCCGCCGTTTACCCCATCGGCGACAGGGACGCCGGCTCCGGGTGTGACGGACGATGGATTGTGCAGTTTTGCTTGTGGGTATGGTTATTGGTGTGTCTCTTTATCCGATCTGCTCTAGCTAGCGCTGAATGACTCCTGTCTTTTAAGCCCTTCCGGTGCGTGTGGTAATGCGGGTGTTCCTCCCACTGCTACTTCTGCAACTGGACTCTTCACGGTTATTGAATGGGGTGCGTTGTCAATGCATGACGAATTTGCACATCTGATCACAGACTAGATCCGAATCCGTCTCCTCCGCCCGGTGCCGTATCGGAAACCTTTGTGCAGCTTCCCGGAGTCGACACATCTGTTGCGGTGTCGCTCATCCCGGAAACGACAGTCACTTCGACCCGAGTGGTGACTATTGCAGCGTACACGACCATCGCCACAGTCTACACGAACCTGCCGAATGGTTTCGGTCTGGTCACGACCACAGCCGTCATTCCAGCGTCAACGACCACATTGTCAATCTTGCAGACCGAGGGCGTGACCGGCACCTCGCTTGCTCTGGTCACCAAGACGCCAACCACAGTCGCCGTGGCAGTACCTACGGCCACATCGACTGTCACGGTTGAAGGCGTTGCGATCGTCCTTGGTCCCGGGGGCCAGCCCGTCGAAGAGCCCGTTCCTCAGGATATCTCCCAGCCGGGTGCTATCGTCCCTACTTTCTGTGAGCGTCGAGCCGTATACTTGCCGCATGTTCCTCACATGAATCTCCTAGCGTGGAACATCTCTCCCAGTCCGAATGCGACGGTCATCATCTACACCGCCCCACTCACTTCGCCTGTGACATGGGCGTCCACCGTCACGATCCCGCCGAAGAGCACTTCTCCACCCGCGGTTGTGACCGGTCCTCCGGGCGATCGTGGCCGTCCTGGCTGTGGCGGCGGATTAGGCGTTTGGTCCGTCTTGTTTGGCGGGATCATCCGGGGATGTCCGCCTGCAGATGTCGGCATCCGCGGTGGAATCACACCGGCGGTCGTCCCGCCGTTCGGATGGACGGGTCCTTGGACGGATCCATTCGTTCTGCCGACTCCTGGTCCCGGTGCCAACAATGGCCAAGGAAACACGGAGACGCAGACGACGAGCACGAGCACGACCACTTCGACTACGATGAATGCGTGTCCAATCCAGACGGCGTATAGCTTGTCGGATGACCCGGAAAATGCTGATTGGTCAGGTGAGGGGACAGATCCTGACACAAGGCGTCGTAGGAGCCTGGGCGAGGAACCCCCGGCTAGGACTGCAGAGAAGAAGATTGCGGATACGTGGGCCAACAGCTCGGATGTGGTCAAACGGGTGGGACGCGGTAAGTGCTCGTTCATCCGGTCTTGGTTTCGCATATGACTGGACGGTTAATATCCAGAGGCCGGTGTCCCCATCTGCGATATCGTGTACAACTCGCCCAACCCAGTCAATCTCGTCGTAGGACCGTATCTTCACGTTCCTTTAGCTGCTGGCGGTGGGACTAGTGTCACTCTCGTCAACACGCCCGGTCAAACGAAACCGCTCAATCCTCTGGTGTCCTCCAATCGCAAGTCGCCTCTTCCTCGCTTGTTCCCAATCCAGCTCATCCGTTTGCTTTGTTGTAGAGGAGCACGTTTTTGAGTTCGTGATTTCCTTGTTCTAAAGGTTTGCACTGATCATCTTGACGATGCAGAATCGGGTATATTAGCCAGGTATGTCACTGGCCAGGGTTCTGTCGGCCCTCCATCAATGACCTATTGCCAGTTCTTCACCTTTCTGGCTGGTCCAGGTGCCAACCAGGCTGCCAATTGCGCGAGGTGATTCTGCGCCGCATTCCGCAGGAATATTTGATGCTCATTCCTCCCAAGCATTGGCAATGATATTATCAACGGTCCCGCCGTAGGAGGAGCGATCGGTGCCCAACTTCTCGCAGCTATTGATAATGTATGTTTTTCGGCCCAAGTTAGTCTGACTGACGCTTATGCTTATGCTTTGTATAGGTTGCCAACATGGTTTGGGTTGACAAACCAATGAATCAAGGCATGTGGGGTCGTCTCGTCTAATCGGGTGTTGTCATTGATCTGAGCTTGTACTCAGCCAAATCTAACGTGGTCAACCGCAATACGCTTACCCTAGACAATCCTCCCCAACTCGACAACATGCTCAAATTCATCAGCTTCACTGAGGCGCAAAGTCTACAGCTGATGCGGGATACGGAGTTTTTCTTGCGCAACATTGCTGCATTGGGCGATTGTATGCACTGGATTGATTTTTCGTTGGAGATTTTTCAAGCTTGGGTCAGATTTTGCTGCAACAGCTCCCATCTTCGCTGCCACGGCAGCGCAATTCCAGCAGATTCTTTCGAAGGCTACACCGAGTGTCGTGTTCGATCCGACGGCAAGCTTGCCGCTCATCTTCTACAACTGGCTATCGAATTTGTTGTCTGCATACCCCAACGGCTGCACATTCCGGGCAATCAACACGTGGAACTACTACAGGTCTGAACTTGCTCGATTGAACACCATCTCAGTGCTCACATGCGCCGACAGCGACAGTATTGATGACATTGCCCAGGCTTCGAACCAGCCAGCTCCGAATTGCTTACCGTTGTACAGACTGAACCAAGTCAGTGTCTATACTACGTCGATGTCCGCTCTGGTACTGACGACGCTCTAGTACACGCCCTCGACCTTCAATTTCCAGGTCAGTTCGCTCCCGCACGCATGGTTGGCTCTGACTGGCTCAGAATCTGCTCCCCCCTGCGCCGAACCTGCCGCGCTGCAATGTTCCCGGGACTCTGGGCTCGGTGGGGTATGTGGATTCTGGCGGTAATGCAATTAGCTCGCTTCCGGGAGCGGTAACCGAGCGGATCATGGGTTCGGGCGATACGCAACTGGTGAGGGGACCACATCGCATCCTCTGCCGTTGAACCCGTTCTCATCACCGATCTTCAGCAATATTACGCCGTGGGGTCGGGCCAGTCCGTGGTCGACACGCACTACCAAGCATTCTCTATGGCAGGCGCCAGTTGCGCGGGCGTTTACAACATCCACGAAGCCGCGCCGGGGCAAGGCGCTGTTGCCGACGCCTTCATCGTCCTGAACTGCGGCACGAGCACCGGCAAGCAACAGGTCAACTTCAACTTTGTCGTCGCGGGGCTGACGGGGCAGCTGGCGTGCGCGGCGCAGCCCTCACCGGGCGGGACGAACATCCTGTGCAGTGCGACTGCGGCCCAGGCGTTGAGCTGTGCGGCGGCGAGTCCGTTCGGTGCGCAGAGCGTGCAGATGCGCTGGTTCCCGCAGTAGAGAGCACGTGTTGCACGTATATATGTTGAGCAGCGCGTATCGGTAATCCACTTGTTATATATTCTTCGTTGAAACTGCGCAATCGTCAGAATCGGGCCTCCCTTAATTACTCAGGTAAAGCATCCCCCACGTAGGGGAAAGTCTGACTGAGCTATATGGTTCCGCCAGTGTCGGATGATTAGCCTGGATACGACATTGACATGGGGGTCACCTGGAGGTCGATCATGGGTTGCGGGCTGAGGCTGAAGTTGACCATCGACGTCCAAAAACATGCGGAGGCCGTGACGCATATCTAACAAAGGCAATACAGCTCTAATGAGAAACGTGAAAAAGTCATTATGATTGTATCTTCGTGACATTAAGAGCTAGAGTATCGTATGAGCCAGATCCACCGTCATCCACGATCTACAGGCACTGGGAGTAGTCTGCGAAACGAGTCAGGGAACAGTAGACGGAAACTCGCACAGGCGAAAAAACGCACAGGGGTTGTTGTAGACGCAGGTGGAGCCGGCAACACAGCTGCCAGAAACTGGGGAGAATGAATCAGAATGCGAACGCAGCATCGATACCAGCGACTGCGACGCACCAGAGTTGCCGCACTGGCCGTACTTGGGGATCGACCCACCGGTCGACGCCGAGCCGGAGCTGGTCGTCGACGTCGTAGCAGCGTGGGTGGTGGTAGTGGTAGTGACGGGAGGGGACCCGGAGCCAGAGCTGCCTCCAGACGTGGCCGCTTTGAACGTCGAGCCGATCGGGCCGGTCCGGATGTCCGAGTAAGTGACCTGCGCGTTGCCCTGCTGGGACTGGACGGTCTGGAGAACAACAACAACAACAACAGCAGCGGATTATTATCGGGTCAGGTGTGAGCAGACGCCGGTCTCGTACCTTGGGGTCACCGGAGGTCGCCGAGCACGGTCCACGCGCAACACCGGGAGCCGTCGCGCTCTTCGTGGTCGGGTACTGCTGTCCGTCGAGCCAGAGCATGCTCGCAGAGTCGTCGTCCCAGAGCGAGAGCGCCAAAACCATGCCGCGCTTCAGCGAGCCGCTCATCGTCGACAGACCGCCGTGAGCCGCGAAGCCGTTCGTGTCGCCGGTGATGTTCTTCTGCGCGCTGCAGAACGAATCGGTGACGGAGTTGAACTGGGTGAGGCCAGGGGTCTTGGCTGGCGCGTTCTGAATGACCTTCCCGTCCTGGACGTACAGCCGGCGGATCTCGGAAAGCGTCCCGGTGGTGGTGTTGTCGTTGGTGAGGAACTGGGTCACGACCGTGACCGGCTTCGTGGTGTCGACCTTGAGGCCGGGTCCGAAGAAGCTGCTGTCGCCCCAGCGGTAGGTGTTGTAGTCGCAGCCGTCCTTGTCGCAGAGAGCCTTGTAGCGGTCGCTGCCGACACCGCAGTCGGTGCCCGTGCACATCGTCTGGCCGCTGACAGAGCACGAGTGAGGCGTGAACGCCGTGTCGAACTTGTTGGCTGGGGAAGAGCGATTCAGATTGGAGAGCGACCGGCGGGGCTCAATCACGTACCCTCCCAGATGTCCATCTCGTTGCAGCACGTTCCCATCGAGCCAGTGCCGGTGTTGGGGTCGTTCGCCGACGGTGTCCAGTTGGCAGAGTTGGCCTGTGATAACATTCATGAGAAAACAAATTCCCCGTCGCCTTCGACTCGACGCACCAATCCGTTGATGAACTTGAGATCCTGAGGGCACTGCGCGTCGCAGTAGCCGGTACCGTACTGGGCACCAGCCTTGTTGTTCGGGAAACGGGCCATTCCACCGTCGGCGTCCATCTCGGTCAGGTACAGCGCGCCGTTGAGACCACATCCCAGCTGGGACACATCGACCGTGAACGTGAACTCCTGGTTCAGCAGCTGGAACATCTCGTAGTGGGTGTTGTCCGCCATCAGGTACACCCGGCTGCCGACGTTGGAGCCTTGCCCAATCGTCAGCAACACTCGCAAGTGCAAGTATCCGCGGAAAGACCTACCAGTGAGGAACTTGAGCGTCGCAGCGTTGCCGGACGTGGTGATTCCGTAGGTGCCCTGGTAGTTCGCGCCGTCGAGCGCACAGTTCTTCGCGCAGGTCGTCGCGTCAGGGCACAGAGCCGAGTTCCAGCTGTTTCCGGTGTAGCAGTTGGTCGACGACGACGTCGAGTGCGTCCACCGCCAGTTCGAGTCGAGGACGATCGCGTTCTGCGTCGTAGTGCACGTCCCGTCTGCAGCGCACTTCGACGTGGTGATCGACGGGTGAACTTCCGACTGGTAAGTGCCGATCTGCTGCGCCTGGGAGACAGCAGCGATGCAGAGAGCGAGGAGAGCGATGGTAGGGAACATGACTGAGAAGACGAGACTGCTTGGTTCTGCTCGAAACCGCCCCTTGCTTTATACCGACCCCAGCTTGCCCGGCAGCCCGAGCGCCCAGAAGTCCATGCTGTTATGCGGCAAGGAGATTCGTCGGCACAACATGCTGCTCTCAGCTACGTCCTCCGCTCGCATAAGTCTCGTAACCCACAGACCCACAGCCAGCTATCGGCTAATCCCCGGAAAACGACAGAGTCAAGAAAAGTGGTGACGGCAGCCGATGCACACAGCAACAGCCTCCGAACACAGCGCGAAGACGGAGTGAAACCCTGGCGGAACCCGATCCAGTCCTTCGGTGCGGCGTGGCAAGTAGCCGCCAAAAAGCAACGGATTAGCCACCAGATCACTGCCACCGTTGATCAGGGTCGCGGATCAGAGCATGACTGGTTGCACCGTCAGAGGCACCTGACCCTCTCCTCGGACAACAGCCTAGAACAGCCTCCGTCCCGAGCAAGCCTCAGAACAGGCTGCGTCTCTTAATGAAAGGTTGATAGGGAGACGTTGCTCTGACACCAACTACGCTTACGGGGCCACGCGAGCCAGAGAGACCAGTGATGCGCGGGCTGAGGCTCTCGAGGGCTCTCGGGTCTGAATCTGACCGAAAGTTCCGGCAACTAGTCTGACTATCGGGACCTCCGAGCCGAACCTGGTTGATCGCCCGTCACTGGTCACCGGCAGTCGTGAACTTGGGGTCAGGTGGGTCCTGAAACTCCTCTACCAGTCCGTCCATGCTATCCTTCTCATAGACCGACAAGTGCGTGGGCTATGACTCGGGGCCACTGATCACCCTCATAAAACTAGTGCCGAATTTTGCGAAATTGACCACTTGGGTCCGGCACAGTTATGCCTCAAAATCATTGGTTTCGGCGGGCCACTGTTCTTGCCCCAGCTCTATCATAATTTGTTTTTGCTCATTTTTGCCAACTTATTCCCTTCAAAGGCCAAAAATACGGAAAAAATCCCAGCAACTAGGGACCTTGGTCATCCCCTGAGAGACAGAGCTTTGGGGGCTTAAAAACCTACCTAAGAGGTACAAGGCAATTAATTAGGGTGTTTCACAAAGTGTTTTTATGACGTTTTTACGATTCCTTTTATGTTGCTTTTACGAACAAAAAAAGACCATAAAAAGCGCATAAAAGGGTCCCTTCGTGAAACCCCCCCAAATTTGGGTGTCCTTTTATCCTCTTTGATGCTGAGCTCAACTAGTCACATGGCAATCCTTCACGTGAATGTCTGAGATGCCCAAAATACTTTCGACCGGTCGAAAGTAAATCACGGTCTGTGACTAGGTGTGACACCTCCTTTTCACCGCATCCATGCCAAAGGTCTCCCTTCGTAGACAACTCATTGACGGTGCCTATACCTACGCGCGACGGTTACGGGCTTGGAGGAGACAACAGCTGGATAGGAGGGACAGAGAGCAGGAAGAGCAGGCTCTGGGATGGCTGGGAGGAGACGAGGGGCTTGGAGAGGACATCGAGCAGCCTGGTAGCTCTATGGACGTCAGCGATGTCAGTGATGTATCATCAATCTCATTTGTTTCTGCCTCCACTGGCCCTGAATCCGATGGTTTTGATTCAGAGAGTGAGGAGACACGGCAATACCAGGAGCAGTATGCTGCAATACAAGAGCGGATTCAGCAGCTTGAGGGCGCCCAAACCTTGAAACCCAAAACAAAGGTTCCAAAGCAGTCCCAGCTGAACCTGGTCCTTGTTCTATACTGCCAGAACGACCCCATCCGCTTCCAACGCAACCTCTGCGTAGCACCTGACACTTTCAACGGAATTGTGCGCAAGATCAAGAATGACGCAGTCTCTGGTGGAGAGCAGGAGACTGGGCAACGTCAGCTCCCTGTGGATTGACAGTTGGCTATCGCTCTGTTCTGATTTGGCCATTTCGGGAACAGCGCATCCGTGGAGTCTATCACGCAGTGGGCAGGTGTCTCTGCGGGAATAGTTGTGAACGCCACAAGACGAGTCATCATAGCCCTGCTCAATCTACACGACACGTTCATCCGCTGGCCCAATGCTGCAATGAAGGAAGAGGTGAAGCAATGGGTCGAGGAACAGAGCTGTGCGGCATGGAGGGACGGCTGGCTGCTTGTTGATGGAACTCTCGTTCCCTTGGCAGAGAAGCCAGTGTATCATGGGGAGGCATATTTTGATCAAAAGAGTAACTACTCTTTCAATGTTCAGGTATGTTCCAAGTACAATTGGATTACATGTTATCTCACAGGAAGCACAGCTCATTACCCTCCCAAATCTATGGATTATTGACTATGTAATTGGCCACATGGGCAGCACACACAATTCGACCGCATTTGCTGAATCTCGGACGTGCAATGACCATGCAGAGCTGATTGGGCCAAACAAGTGGATCTGGGCAGATTCAGCATATCCGGTTGAATCTTGGCGCGTCACACCTTTCAAGAAACCGGCAAATGGCCTCGCTGAGAACAAGACTTTCAATTACTGGGTCTCCCATGTTCGGATTTGATCTGAACATGCTGTGGGTTTCCTGAAGGGTCGTTTCCAATCACTGCGTGGTATTTGTCAGCAAATCAAGAACGAGACAGACTATCTTCGAGCGTGCCTGGTCTTACACACCCTCATTCATGACCTTGAATCGGAGAACAACATGCGTGATGAGGAATGGGAGGAGGAGCTTATCAGGGATGGCACGGCGGATGACGAGAACAATAGAGATGATGTAGAACCTGCTCCAACAAGACATGGCAGAGGAGGGCGCGAGACAGCTGGGCAGGCAAGGAGGAGGAGGGTGAAGGAGGCACTTTTTGCTAGTGGTGTCCCTAATTGTAGAAACCATGGTTGATAGGCTTTCTACTGACTACTCAAATCAATAATTGTGTGAAGAACTTGAACTGGAGCCTGTGAACTGACTACTCATCCCGCTGAAGTCAAAGCCCGATGTCCCACCACTTGAGATGCTTGACAGATCATCATCATGATACTGGTCATTCTGCTGGTGTCCGAAGTTCCCTCCGCTCATTAATCCTTGCATTGGCGCTCCCATCCCAACGTTTCTGTGGATGCCCATCATCTGCTGCGTCATCCCCATCACCATCTGATTCTGTCGCATCTGGGCCTGCATGCCTTCTCGTTCCATCTTGAGTCGCTGGCAATCATTGTCAAGCTTGCGGCGTTTGTTCTCTTCCTTCTGAAGCTCAAGAGCAAGGTGCTTGTTGGCTCGTCTTGAGGATTCTGCAATATCTTGCTGGTAGCTCTCATCAAGAGTGTCAAGGTTGAATGCACCCTGACGCTTCTTGGCCTTTGCTGACAACTCAGCCTTGATCTGACAGGTGCGTAAGTCAGTTTGAACAATATCCGGTGAAGGAAAAACCTTGGGCTTCTTGTTAATAGTGCTATCTTGAACCGCGGGCTTCAACTTCTCATCAACATCCTCCTCCTCTTCCTCCACATCCATCGCTGCTTCTGATGAACCTTCAGACATTGCACACATTGACGAGGGCGTGTTGAGGCCATGTTCCTTCCATTCCGACATCTCTTCTATGTCCACTGACTCTTCAGCCTCCATCCCGAAGAGATTCCCAGCTCGTTTTGCATGATCGCCACCCGACTTTGCATTGGTGACTACGATGGGATTGTAGTTTGGAAGCTCTTGCCAGAATGCATGTAGCTTGTCCCAATGCACAAATTTCTCCTGGATATTTGCTGATGGCTCTTCAGAATGCAGGATGTAACGGAAAGATGCATTCAGCACGCACCAATGAGATTGGCCTGATCATCCTCGGGCAAGAGTCCGCCACTAGTCGAATACAGTGTCTTGACGTGTGTTCCGTAAATCTTCAATCTGTGCACAGGTGAGTAACCTCATGGATGTCACTGGTCACAACTCACCAAAGAAACTGCTGCTGAAGAGATTTTGCAAACCGTTCGCGATCTGCGAGGTATAGTGCAGTCCATTTGGGTCCCAACACACCGATGTTCTTCCTATCTTTGCCATCTCCATCTGACTTAGTTTCTGCAGCCACATTGTCTCCTCCTCTGTCCTTGCTCCCAGCACTGGCCGCCTCCTCCTTCATCTCCTCTGCCGATTTGACCCCCGCAACATAATCCATCATTGTCTCATACATCTGGAGCTTCGTTGTCTTGCCCTGGAGCTTTGCACGACCCTGAGTGGTGGCGTTGCTTGTGGAATCACTGTACAGTTTGACACGGAAATGGGGATTGTTGGTAAGGAATTCAATGGCTTTGGCTATCCAGGCCGGGTTCTTCTCCCAAGGGATGCTGTCGGCCTTGGCCTTGCCGCTGGGCTTCCCATCCTCCACCTCAATGATATCATCATCCTTCTCTTCTACTGTTGACACCTTCTTTCCCTTCCCTTTTGGTTTCTTCTGCTTTGGTATGGCAGCGTTGCTTACATCAATGTCCTTGGGCTTCTGCTTTATTTCTTTCTTCTTCTTAGCAGATCCGGTCATCAAGGCAAGGTAGATAGGAGAGAAGAGAGGTAGGATAGGGGCATGTAACGTGATAGATTAGATAACATCTTGCCGAAAAAAGGCCCATAAAACAGGAGCAGAAAAAGGGCCTCTATGCATAAAAGGCCTCAAACGTGTTTATGCACTTGTTGCAAAAAAGGTGACTTTTTTTTTACGAGACTCGATTTTGATCAGACAAAAAAAGGATCATAAAACAAACATAAAAACAGTGTAAAACGGCTTTGTGAAACACCCTATTGGCTGTGCACAGGTACAGGTAACACTTGATCAGGATTTGTACACTGAGTAAGCAAATAAATCACTGATTTTGTGTTGCCATGGCACAAACTCTTACCCTTGTCCCCAACAACGGCAGGGCAAGCTCAATCAAATGGCATAGATTTCTGCAGACAAATAGTGTCATGTCAGGGGATGCTGTGCAGTGGAGATATGACCAGTAGCAATCACCTATAAGACAGAGTCTCAGTGAGTGTAGAGATACAGGAGCTGAGGATATGGAGTGTATAGTACTAGGTTTATTGTTGAAGTAATACAAGATGAGAACTTGATTTTATTCTGTAGGGTACAGTTGGTATATATACTCTATTTGAATATCATCTAGAAGCCGGTGGAATGGGCAGGAAGACGGTAGTAAGCTAAGTAATCATAAGTAATGATCATTACTTATGATGACTTATCATTGATACCATCATTCATACTGATTGTCAACACTCCCCCTCAAGCGTGATACATGCCTAGAGCTTTAGCAAAATGTTTGTGCTTGTCCCGTGGGAGTCCTTTTGTAAGGATATCTGCCGTGTTCTTGTTCATTGGTACATGGGAAACTGACACTTCTCGAGAAGTGATGTGATCTTGAATAAAATGGTATCAAATGTCAATGTGCTTTGATTGTGCGTGGAAACCGGAGTTTTGGGCAAAGGCTATTGTTCCCATGTTATCAACATTAATATGGGTAGATTGGGATGTGTTGAGTCCTATTTCTGAAAACAATGATCTGAGCCATAAGGCTTCTCATGTGGCACTGGCCAGTGCCATATATTCAGCTTCCATGCTTGATAGAGCAACAGTGGGCTGTTTTTTTTGAGTTCCATGTGACGGCAGCACCGGCTAGCATAGTGACGTAGCCGGTGACTGATCATCGTGTGTCAGGATCACTGCCCCAATCAGCATCTGAGAAGATCTCAAGGGTGGTAAGTAGTTTGTGATGGTATGTGATCCCATTTTTTGCTGTTCTGCGTAGATATCAAAAAACTCGTTTTGCAGCTGTGAGGTGCTCTGGTCCAGGATTGGAATTAAATTGGGATAGGGTTTGTACGACAAATGAGATGTCTGGTCAGGTTGTGATGGCAGCATAGAGGAGTGATCCAATCATATTTTGATAGACATTTTTGATGTCAGCATAGGATTTATTGTTTGGGGTGCAGGAAAGTTGAACGTTTGGGTCCATGGGAGTTTGGACTGGGTTGCATGTGTCCATTCCATATTTGGCCAGGATCTTTGTAATATATTGGGTTTGTGTGAGCTGGGTCAAGTTTTGGGTGCAGGAAATCTCCATGCCAAGGAGTTGCTGGATTTCTCCAAGGAGTTTGATTGAGAACTTGGCACTGAGTTCTTTCTCAATCAAAGCCATGAGCTCATCTGATGATGCCAATATTGTCATGTTGTCCACATGGATGGCAACTATGACAAGATTGGTATTACCTCAGCAGATATAGACACACTGGTCTGAGATTAACCTTGTAAAGCCAAGTTTAATGAATGATGCATTGATTGTAAGGTTCCAGACTTGACCAGATTGTTTGAGGCCGTAAAGTGTGCACCATAATTGACAGACATGTGTGGTTCCATCATGGAACATTGGGGGCTGTTGCATGTAGATTTCTTCTTTGAGTTCCCCATTGAGATAAGCGCCTATGACATCAATGACATGGATTTTTAAGTTTTATTGTGTGGCAAGTGCCAATAGAAGTCTGATTGTTTCAATGTGTACGACAGGGGCAAAGGTTTCATCAAAATCAATCCCTGGAATTTGTGAGAAACCTTTTGCAACCAGTTGTGCTTTATATCGTGAAATTTTTCCATCATTATCTCTTTTGACATGGAATACCCATTTGCAGGATATGGCTGTTTGTTCGGCAGGGAGTGCCTTGAGAGAATAGGTTCCTAGAGTTTTTAATTGTTTTATTTCTTCTTCCATGGCTAATTTCCACTGCGGCCAGTCAGATCGTGATTTTGCTTCTCCAATTGTTGATGGATCATCTGATAGTGGATCAGATGTGGCAGTAAGTGCAGTGTCCAGATAATCATTGGTGGCCATGCAGTGTTTCCACGTGTCTGGTCTAATTGGCAATCTGGTGTCAGGGTTATTGGGAAATTAAGATCCCGTAGTGTCTGGATTTGTGGCTGGTTTTCTTTGTGATCCAGAAATAATGTTTTGGGGATCAATTCTGCTCAATATATCACGGGGTGCAATATGTGGTTCTTCCGGGTGGATTTTCGGGGTGTCAGGTGGCGTTGTGAGAGGTGACAAGGGTGGTGTCAGTGTATTTTTCGGAGTTGCAGGCACGGGAATAGTAATTCTCTCCCCCTCAAGCTGCAATGAGGGGGGATCAGAAAGTGTCGAGGTTTCTATTATGGCATCTGGCAAAAAAATAATGTTTTGGCTTGTCAGAATCTGGCATGAGTCCGCTTTATAGTAGTGATAGGCCTTGGACTCATTTGAAAACCGGTGAAAATGAATTTCTGTGATTTCTTGTCCAGTTTTCTGATTTTTCCTTCTTGATCCAGTACCCAGCATGGGCTGCCAAATTCTTGAAGATGTGAAATGTCTGGATTCTGCTTCCAGAATGCTTTGTCTGGTGTGATCAGCCCCTGGAGGCCACAGGTTGGTGATTGATTTTTTAAATATGTTGCATAGGCAATGGCCTCTGGCCTAAAAAACTTTGGTAAATTGAAATGCGCTATCATGGCACCCGCATTTTTGATTAGTGTGTGATTCAGGCGTTCTGCAACTCCATTCTGTGCAGATGAATGAGGGGCTGTCAATTCAAGCCAAATTCTGTTGTCATTGAGGTACTGCCGGACCTTGGAGTTTACATACTCCTTTCCATTGTCACATTGAAAGCATTTCACTCGTTTCCCCGTTTGAGTGTGTAGGAACTCTGCGTAGTGTCGTATTTTATCCTTCACATCAGTTTTGGCCTTTAAAAAATAGACAATGGATTGGCATGATTTTGCGTCCATGAATGACACATAGTAACATGAACCATCAATTCCGGTGATGCGTGATGGTCCCCATATGTCAGTAAAAGTCATATCACCAATATTTTTGTATTCTGTGTCTGATTTGGGTGGAAATAGTGCAGCATGTGTCTTTGTTTTTACACATGTTTTGCAAAAATCAGCTGGTGGTGTTTTTTCATTGATTTCCATTCCTTGCACCATGTTTTTATCCTTTAATAATTTGATTGACTTGTGCTGGATGTGCCCAAAAATGCGATGCCATTTGTCCCAAGAATGTGTGGGAGGTTTGGCAGGTAACGCTGAAATGCTGAGGGTGTGCTCACAGGTGAATCTACTATGAAAGTAAACTCAAATATAAACACGTTCACACTCCTCGTAATCAGCTTCTCAGTGTGTGAAAGATGCGAGGGCTTTGGTGGTGGACAGAGCACCAGTATCACAACTCTCAATAGACACAGATCCAATAGTTGCAGAAGACGAAGTCAACAACAAGAATTTATATATAGCAAAGCAATGGTGTCTCAACCAATATCTTCTATACAGTCAAATCCAACACTAATCCAACCACAACCAACAATATCACAAGTCAGAGCTTAATACAAAGTATTAAGATCCCTTGTAGCGACAGCGTCCAGATGGCGATGCAAGCCCAAATATCAAGTTGACACACTGCCAACTGACACAACCAAAGAACTGAGTCGATGCACTGCCAACTAGTAAAACCAAAATGCTGCGTCGATGCACTGCCAACTAACAGCCAATATCCAATGTCCAAAACCCGAGCACAACTTGTCAATGCACTGCCAAGCAAGAGGTGTGGAACCAAAGTTCTCAAGTCAACGCACTGCCAACTGACCAAAACTACCCAAGCACAACTAGTCGACGCACTACCAAGCTAGAGGTGTGGAAACAATCTCAACAAAGCCCAAAGGCAATGACACTAAATGCCGCAACTAAACCAGAAGTGGCAAATCCGACTTTCTGATATCTCAACTCAAACTCAAATCACAGTAGCTACAAGTGCTCAGGGAGCAACTCGTTGCAACCGGGCAGGGGTAACAGAACTTCTTAGGGCAGAATCACGCGACACGCAAATTGCACGAAAACAATCTGATATGGGTATGATTCACAGTCTGGGGGAAAGCTCCCCAATACAAAGAAACAACACGCTACTTATATTGTCTATGACAGTGCTTAGTAAAGTCCTGTACAACTGCATAGTAGCTACGCTATCTAAGATCAGTTGCTTTTTATGGTAATGAGAAAGTTGAATGATCGGACAGGTCCTGACTGATCAGGACCCCGCCCCATTGTCCATGTGATACTTTTGATGTGGGTCAACCCACTGCGTCATACTTTTGGAATATGACGTGCTGGATTGGCCAACTGGTATGTCTTGGCAAGTGAGTCCAACGTGGGTGCCCCAAGAAGCTGTGTGGCCCTAGGCACGCCAGACGTTCCCCACATGGTTCGGTTCATGGATCTAGCCTGTGTCGCTTTTGATGTGTTTGGGTATGGGCGTGACTTGCCGTGACACTTGGAAGTGCCACCACAACACGTCCACAATGTCCGGTGATCGAGTGGATCCTGACATGTGACAAGTTGTCGTTGTGGCATGATCTAATGGAAACATTCAACCCAAAGCTGGGAGTTGCCGTGACAAGATTGGTTCAATCTCGTAACGCCAAGTTCTGCCTAGTAGTCGTTGTAATGTTGAGAACGTCGCACATTGCTAAGCCCTTCAGTCCAAGTTCCCATCTGCAGAGAATGACCCTTTTGGGAAGTCGCCACAACAAAGGATCCCTTTTGGGGAATTGTCGCGACCCAAGTGTCTGTCACTAATAGCCCTGAGTCTGGTGTAGACTTATAAGACCAATTCCACAGTAGTGGTCTGACTGCCTTGCTATTGTTGACACCATCCACAGTTGTTGACTGGGCAGTAGACCCTTAAGTCCTACTGAGCGCAACACTGTCAACCACGACACGATACACTGAGTGGTTCAAGAGTAAACTCTGTAAAAGTGCAAAAATACGCCCTTATAGAGCTGGTGCAGAGCGCGTCTGGTGGCCAGCCTATCAGCGGATGAGCACAGGGGCATCTGGTACAAGCCTATACAGCAGTAGTCCACATCCACAGGGAGAACACCAAAGTAGAGGGAACCCCAGATGCCACTGCCATCATTACATAATAGATCCCGCGGGTACCTACTGGGTACCTATAGACGTAGCTCTATGGGTACCCAGTAGGTACCCCCCCGCGGCAGGGGTGCAGGGGGCAGGGTCATGTGCAGGGGTCAGGAGGGGGGGATAATACATATCATGTGATTTATCCTGTAGATCAGACAGCTGGGTGGGAGAAAAAATAGAATCATGTGAAGCATCAAATGGGCAGGGGATGGCAGGATAAAAAATCACATGATCAAACACATGAGATTTCAAAAATGTTGGCGGGGTTGGTGGGGGTGTTGGCGGGGTCACTATCGCCCCCTCCCGCACACCAGGGCGGACAGTGGGCTCATTATCACGTGACTTTTTGGAGACTTTTTTTGCACTGTTTAGCATGGTTTCTGTTGTTCTCCTAATACATTGTATGTTGTAGCCGGTTGGTAGGCAGATGATCACATGACTTTTCACAAATAAAACAAAAAAGCAGCTCCAAATCATCCCACTGGGATTTCAATAGCTGGGTTCAATTTTAACCATACATTTGAGCTTGAAAACCCAAAATTGTGAATCCAATCCTGGCGGTGGCTTGGGCGGGGTTGATTGTGGGGGGTGCATAAACCTCTGCCCACCCCTATTGGCACCCCCGCCACAACCCTCGCCATCACCCCTGCCATCACCCCCACCACAACCCCTGCCATCACCCCCACTGCAACCCCCGCCATCACCCCTGCCATCACCCCTGCCATCACCCCTGCTGTCACCCCTGCCATCACCCCCGCCGCAGTGGTGCACTTGCCCCTGCCATCTCCAAATATGTAATATTATGTAAAGTGACAGCTCAGAACACATTAACTCATTAGCCAATCAGAACCTGTATAAAGGTCGTACCCCAGTGTTTTCTGCTCTTCTGACACTTTCACTACATTTATGCAGCCAAAAATCATCGGAATAATGTCTCCCTATGCTACTCTTGTCAAATATAATGCTAATTCATGTCCTTTGTCTGTTCGAAATTTGAAACATTGAAACAGTCCATGGTTGGGTAAGGTTCCTATGTAGAGACTACTTCAATATGATTCACTTTGGGTATTGCACAAAATATATTTTCTACAAGGGCCCAACTTTGCACAACTGAAAGATACACTCTTTGACATTGCTTGAATCAAGTCTTGGGAGTTCTGGACTCTGGAACAATTCAGAAACATGGAATGAATTCAAAACATAGTATATTTCTGAATGTGAGATATAGGCCAATTCGATGAGATGTAAGCCACTGGTTATGTTGAATAGGATATCTGGCAATGCTTCGGCTCTCTACCTTCCACTATACAACTTTTGTTCTTAACAAAATGTGTGGTAAGCAACCCAAGCTTATAAAATCAATTGTTGCCTACATAAAACAAAGGTAAAGCTGCTGCATTGAAAATTGGGTAGAGGTTACCTTGAAGTTGCTTGGGTGTCAGTACTGAAAATCTAGAAAGTCATCCTGAGGTTCATCCGCATTTGGCAAGTGCACCACTGCGGCAGGGGTAATGGCGGGGGTGACAGCAGGGGTGATGGCAGGGGTGATGGCAGGGGTGATGGTGAGGGTTGTGGCGGGGGTGCCAATAGGGGTGGGCAGAGGTTTATGCACCCCCCACAATCAACCCCGCCCAAGCCACCGCCAGGATTGGATTCACAATTTTGGGTTTTCAAGCTCAAATGTATGGTTAAAATTGAACCCAGCTATTGAAATCCCAGTGGGATGATTTGGAGCTGCTTTTTTGTTTTATTTGTGAAAAGTCATGTGATCATCTGCCTACCAACCGGCTACAACATACAATGTATTAGGAGAACAACAGAAACCATGCTAAACAGTGCAAAAAAAGTCTCCAAAAAGTCACGTGATAATGAGCCCACTGTCCGCCCTGGTGTGCGGGAGGGGGCGATAGTGACCCCGCCAACACCCCCGCCAACCCCGCCAACATTTTTGAAATCTCATGTGTTTGATCATGTGATTTTTTATCCTGCCATCCCCTGCCCATTTGATGCTTCACATGATTCTATTTTTTCTCCCACCCAGCTGCCTGATCTACAGGATAAATCACATGATATGTATTATCCCCCCCTCCTGACCCCTGCACATGACCCTGCCCCCTGCACCCCCGCTGCGGGGGGGTACCTACTGGGTACCCATAGAGCTACGTCTATAGGTACCCAGTAGGTACCCGCGGGATCTATTATGTAATGATGGCAGTGGCATCTGGGGTGGTAGAGGGGGAGAAGTGTGTGGCAGTAGCTCTCCCTGGTGCAAGGAATTGGGCCTGGCTAGACCATTTGTGAGGATTCATAGGAGACAGCTGGGAAGAGGAGGAGAGGGCAGACATTGGCACAGATGGAGATGGGGATTGTCGGAGGAGGAGGCTGGGTGATTGATAGGTTGTGACAATCAACCCAAAAACAAAGTCGAAAAGAGAAGTGAATTCGAAGACTGGAGAATACAACCAGGTAGCTACAGTATTTATACCCAAATCCAGTCTGAGTCATATCTACAACTAATGAGTCATAAGACTATGTACCACATGGAACGCTGGTCATGGGTTGTAGTAGAACCTTCCGGAGCATATGTCGCGCAGCCTCGAATCGATAGAGATAACCCCTGGAACCCCTAGCCCGGACCGTCTGATGCCGTGATAAGATAAGTCGTGCCAAGATAAGATAAGATCGTCGATGATAAGATGAAAAAGTGGTCGAACTATGACATTACCCCCTCTCTAGGGTCGATGTCCTCATCGACTAGGCCAATGGGCGTGAAGACGTTCTCGTAGGGGTCGAAGAGTTGTCGCTGGGGATATGGAAGGCACTCGTCTTTGGGTTTGTAGCAATGGATAAGATAATCCCAATGTCCGGCTTCGAGCGTTGGCAGGAGGCGAATGCGTGTGTCTGGGTTGGATTGTTTCCTCTGCCAGTCTCTCAGGACGTCCTCCGCGTGGGTAAGGTGACGTGATGGTTCCCAGGTGTTCTCGCTGTGCGGCCATCCCTTCCATTTGACCAAGTACTGTTTTCCTCGGCCGACTTTTCGTTCTTTCACGATTTCTTCGACTTCCCACTCCTCTGCTCCTCCGATCATCTTAGCTACGGGTCTCTTCTCTCGGCGATGGGGGGGTGGTTCATGATAAGGTGTCAATAGTGACTCGTTGAACACCGGGTGTCTTTGGTCCGTGTCCGGCAAATCCAGCTTCCATGCGGCCGCTCCAACCTTCTCCAGTATCTCGTATGGTCCCAATCTCTTGTCGCTCATCTTCTTTGATGGTCTATCCGTCTCGATATTGTCCCCTTCTATGTACACCTTCATCCCAACCTTCAACTCCGGAACTTCTTTTCTTTGTTTATCGTAGTATTTTTTCATTTTTTCTTTTGCTTTTTCCAATGCTGCTTTTGCTTCGTCTTGTATTTCTTTGATTCTTTTTACAAATTCCTCCGCCGACTTGTTCCTTGATTCCATCCTTTGCTCCACTCCCTTCCATGGGTGATATCCGTGATTTGCATAGAATGGCGACATTTTGGTAGACGTGTTCATTTTGTCATTGTATGCGAACTCCGCCATTCCCAGCCACTCCGACCAATCCGTCTGATGGTAGTTGACGTAAATGCGGAGATAGTGTTTGATCTCCTGATTCATGCGTTCGGTTTGTCCATCCGTGATCGGGTGATATGCGGTCCCCGGGTTCATTTCCACGCCCAACATCCGATTCGTCTCCTTCATGAAGCCCTTGATGTAACGCGAGTCCCTGTCGGTGATGATCTTGCGAGGGATCCCATGGTAGCGGAAGACTCGGTCCCTGGTTAACCGTGCGACTCCTTCACTGCTGATGTCAGTACTAATTGGTTCGACATGGATCATTTTGGTGAAGGTGTCACACCACACATGGATTGCGTCATACCCATTACTGACCGGCAAGGGTCCGATTTGATCCATTGAAATGATTTCCCACGGCGCATTTGGAACTGCATGCGGGTGTAGAGTCCCTGTCCTCGCTCTCCTGGTCTTGGTCCATTGGCACGCCTCGCACGTCTGGATGTATTTCCGAATTTGGTTTCCCATCCTGGGCCACCAGTAGTTCCTTTCCACCATCTCCTGCGTTTGGTTGATTCCAGCGTGTCCGGCCAAGGGTGTGTCATGGTGTAGACCGATGATCTTGTCTCGCAGTTCCTCGTCCCTTGGTACATAGAGCTTCCCATGGTACGTGATAAGCCCCTCTTCCTTCTTCCATCCGACGAGTGACTTCTCCAAGGCCGCCTTGACGCTTCCATCAATTGATTGAATGGCCTTGATTTCATCGATTAGCTGCTGATCCTGTCCCTCGAATGTGACTTCTTGTGATCGGAAGAACTCGGGCTTCAGTAGCGTGACGTCCTTGTTGTCATTCTTGCCCTGATCGTGATCCGCTCGTCGAGACAGGAGATCCGCCTTGCGGTTGAGTGCGCCGGGTTGGTGTCGTAAGGTGAAATCAAACTCCGCCAGCTCCGTGATCCATCGTGCTTGTCGTCGATTGAGCTTCTGCGGCTTTCGGAAGTACTTGAGATTCTGATGATCAGTGAAGATCTCGAATGTTTCCGTGGCTCCCAGGAGCAGCTGCCTCCATTCATCGAGTGATAACATGATCGCGAGCATTTCCTTGTCGTAGATCTCGTAATTTCGCTCGGTTTCGGTCAATGCGTGTGAAATAAATGCGATTGGGCGCCAAATGCCGTCTTGGTTTTGGCTCAAAACTGCTCCTGTTGCCCCTTCCGAAGCATCGGCTTCCAGACGATATTGGCCAGTGTCATTTGGCAGTGCTAGGACCGCATCCTCTGCAATTCTCTTCTTCAACCCATCAAATGCTGCACGCTCATCTGCACCCCATGCCCATCCTGCCTTCCCTGTCAACCGTGTCAATGGTTTGGCAATCTCCGCATATCCCCGAACAAAGCGTCGATAGAAGTTGGTGAACCCTAGGAAGGCTTGTACTTGTTTGACGCTCTTTGGTTCTGGCCATTCCATCACACCCTTGATCTTGACTGGGTCCATCCGCATCGAATTGTGTCCAATAATCACACCCAAATATTCGATTTCCGTGCGTTCGAACTTGCACTTTTCGGGTTTCAGGTACAGCTTGTGTTTTTGGAGCAGTTTGAGTACTCGTTTCGTGATCCGCCGATGTTCGTTCAAGTTCTCTGTGAAGATCAGTATATCATCAAGATAGACTACCACGTGGCCCTCGTTGATCAGGTCTCGGAGTATGTCATTCATCATGTTTTGGAAGGTTGCCAGGGAGTTTGTGAGACCGAAGAACATGACCAAGGGCTTGTACAGTCCGCGGTTTGTGCGGAACGCAGCCTTCCACTCGTTGCCCTCTTTGATCCGTACGTTATTGTATCCCCACCGGATGTCGAGCTTGGTGAAGAACTTTGCACCGCATAGATTATGGACCAGTTCGGAGATCAGCGGCAGCGGGTACCGATTTCGGATTGTCATTTCGTTCAGCTTCCGATAATCTTGGACGGGGCGTAGCGAGCCATCCTTCTTTTTGACAAAGAAGAACGCTGATGCCATGGGTGATTTGGAAGGCCTGATCCGTCCGCTGGCCAGGTTCTCTTGTAAAAACTTGTCGAGTTTGACCTGTTCGTTTCGTGATAACGGGTACACCTTGCAGTCCACTGCTTTGGAACCAGGTTTGAGCTCGATTGCATGGTCCCATGCCCGTCGGTCTGGCAGCGAGTCGAACAATTCCTTGGCAAATACTTTGACAAATTCCCAATATTGATCCGGAATCTTCCCCTTGGTCATTCTCTCCTTCTCTTTTTCCGCTTCTTCTGCGAATTTCTGCGCCAGTGTTTCCTTCAACCGTAGATCCACCTCCTTCCCAAAGTCAATCAACAGGATTGACTCTCCCTCTTCCAGATCTGGTGCACCTGCGTCCAGGTCAATTGCATCCATGTCGATCATTGCTTGATGCTCCTCGTGACCCCCCATGTGACACCGCTCTGGGCATCGACTGAACCTCATCGTCTGCTCCTGCCAATCCACCTCGGGGTTGTGTTCCGTCAGCCAATCAAGACCGATGAAGATCCGAGCTTTCCCTAAACACGTCAGAAGGAACGTGCGTGTCTCCACGTGAGGACCGATTCTCATCCTTAGGTCGACGTAATGTGTGATCCGACCGCTGATGTTCTCGGTGTTGTCGGCGTTACGAGCCACAATGGGTTGGGGAAGTTCTTGGATATCCAGCTTTTCTGCCCGCGCGTAGTCGGTATCAATGCAGCAGGTGCTACAGCCACTGTCAAGTAGCGCCTTGACTCCGCGCGTCTTTCCTGAGTCCAGGCCCGTGATCTGTACATACACGTCCATCGAATGTCTCTTTCTTTCGGCCTGGTAGTTGCGCAGTTCCTGCGCCAGTCTGCTGGGTTGCGGGCCCTTCTGTCTCTCGGCTGCCCATTTCCTTTGAACGGCATCTGGCACCCTCGTGCGTTTGGGTGCTTCTGGAACCCTGATTTCGGCAGATTCCTTGAGCGCTTCCTCCTTTTTCAAGGATTGAGCCTCCGGAGCGATGCTCCCCTTTTCGGTCTTTGTTGACGTGGTTCCTTCTCCACGAGCCATAAATACGTAGGAGTCCAAAATTAATTTATCCGCAGCTTTCTGATCCTTTTTACTCTGTAAATACTCTCTATTTAAAGCTATTTTCTTTTGATGTTCCTTTTCCATATCAGCAACAAGAAAATCATGAATATTAGTACGTAGGGAGTCTGAGATCGTGTATGCATGAGGAGAATCGTTCATATCTCTAATCGAAACAAGTATAGAAAAACGTCCATAGTCCGGACGCTCCACCTCCTTGGCTAGAGGAGTGGAGCGCTTCAAAAACCCTTCTCGCGCAGCTTCTCAGTGATCTCCTTGAGGAACTCGTTGTCCTTGTCCCCGTTCTCGATTTCTTCCAGCATCGTGGCCCGATTGAAGAATGTGCGCTTCTTCCTTGGCTCCGGACAGTTCCGCGCAATGTGCCCAGGCTGCTGACAGTTGTAGCAGATGATATTGCGGCCGCGGGCGTGGGTGCGATCGATTTCCATCGGAACTGGTTCGTTGGCAGCGGGTCGGGCCGGGGTGGGTGCAGGTGTCATTGGGGCTACCTGCGGGCGGAATTGGGGAGGCAGTCGTGGTGCGGATTGCACATGCGATGCTTTGCGCAGTTGATCGCGTAGAGCGTTCGCCTCGATGTTGACACACCAGTTCTTGAAGGCACCATATGCCTTGGGCAGGGGGACGCCAGTGTTGTAGAGGCGGCTTGCAATTTCGCTGCTGAGTCCGCGCTCCAGGAACTCGATGAGGATATTGTCCTGTTCCCCCTTCTTGTACTCGCCCTTGCTGTCAGTGGAGGTGACCACGTTGTACCCCACGTCTGCAGCCAGCATTTTGAAGTCGGAGATGTAGT